ACTGGTCGAATACCAGTGTTTCCCACGGCCCCTTTATGGGTTCTGATCATAAACCTCTTATCATTAATACTTGTCCTCATTTTGTATCCTTCCCAAAACCTTTCAAATTTGAAGCCTACTGAAATACTGATCCTAATTGTGCCTCTGTAATTTCAAATGCTTGGAATGAAAATTGTCATGGTTCTTATTCTTAGCGGTGGTTGTTTAAACTTAATTGTTGTAGCAGTGCACTGACAAAGTGGAGCAACTCCAAGTTTAAAAACAACCGTAAAGAAATAAACAAAAATTTGGCAACTCTTGAAAGGATCATGTCCTGTGTTCGAACAGTATCGTTCTCGATTTCTCTAAACAGAAGGGATGGTGATAGTTTGAAGCCTTCTAGGGGCATTAGACAAAGGGATTCCCTATCCCCCTATCTTTTCCTATTTGTTACAGAAGCCTTGTCTTCTCGGCTAACAAAAGCATGCAATGAGAAGGACATTCAGAGTTTAGCCTTATCCCAAGGTGGGCCCATCATTTCACACCTATTATTTGTTGATGACTCCCATTTTTTCTTGAAGGCCACCCCACAAAATTGTAGTGCTTTTATCCACATCCTCAACACCTATTGTGAAACATCTGGACAAAAGATCAATTATGATAAATCCACCTTGTTCTTTTCTGCAAACACTCCTCAATTAGCTAGAGACGAGATTGTGCGGTTTTAAATATGTCGAACTCCCCGGACCCGGGGAAGTATCTTGGTTTACCTACAATATGGGGCCGGTCAAAGACTGAAGCACTGACCTATGTCAAAAATCGGATTCAACAGAAAATTCAATCGTGGAAGATAAATTCTCTATCTCAAGCGGGACGTGAAGTTCTTATTAAAGCTGTGGCATATGCAATTCCTACGTACCAAATGAATTGTTTCTTGTTTCCACTAACGCTTTGCAGGGAACTGGATGCTCTCATTATGAACTTCTGGTGGGGCTAAAATGAGGACGAGTGCCGGATCCATTTGAGGAGTTGGGAAATCATTTGCCTCCCAAAAGCGGCTGGTGGACTGGGTTTTAGAAGCTTTTTTTACTTCAATAAGGTTCTACTCGCAAAACAGTTTTGGCATCTTATTCAAGAACCGGATTCGTTTTGGGCTAAGGTTTTAAAGGAGAGGTACTTTCCTAATGTGGAGGCTATATCTACATCAAAGGGATCCCGTGCTTCGTGGGTCTGGAGTAGCCTTCTTAAGGGTCAAGCTATCATCAATCAGGGTGCTCGTTGGCAGATTGGGAATGGTGCTTTTGTTAACATTTGGAAAGACAAATGGATCATGAATGTGGATGATGGATTACTGCATCCCTCTACCATGGTCCCTAAATCCGCCCATTTCCTAATGAAAGATATCATTCACCCAATTTCTCGTTCGTGAGATACTAGCCAAATCAACCATTTTCTACCTCTTAATGATATCAGAAGCATTGTATTAACCTGTATTGGGGATAGGATTTCACCTTATTGTCTAATCTGACCCCATACAAAAAATGACGATTACTCGGTGAAATCCGGCTACAACTTTTCTCATATTCCTCGAGCGAGGGAGTTAATTTTATGCAGAGGTAAATCTCAGAGTTCTCACCAAACTGGGGATACTTTCTGGAAGGTGATGTGAAGGACTAAAACCTTGCCCAAGATTAAATTATTTCTTTGGCATGTGGCTACTAATTGCTTACCTACGATGCTTACCCTATTCACCAGAAGGGCTGCCCAAAGCCCGTTGTGTCTTTTGTGCAAAGAGTTCCCTGAGTCGACGGAGCATGTCCTTTTCCTATGCCCTTGGACTATTGGAGTTTGGTTTGCTAGCTTCCTTAACTACCGAATTGATCGATCAAGCATCACAACTTTTGATAAGTGGTTTTTCGCGCTTAAAAGGGCCACGGGCATTAATGTTGATGCCTATTCTTGGGTATACACCACGGTAGCCTTTATTTGCTAGGAGATTTGGAAAACTAGGTGTAATTGTATTTTTAATGGTTCAGTCCCTTCGCCGGAGTATACGACCGAGAAAGCTTCTCGGGATGCTACGGAGTTTATAAAGGCAAATTCAACTCCAGAGGGATTCAGTCTTCCTTCTCCTAGATCGATAATCTCTCATCCTCAGCATTGGGAGCCCCTACCCCAATTGGAATTACCAAGGCCAACTTTGATGGTGCTTGGTCAAGTGATAATCTTCAATCTGGTTTGGGAGTTGTCTTCCGATCTTCCAACGGGGCTATCTTTACTGGCATTTCCACTCCTTGCCTATCTTCCTCCTCTCTGCAATCTGAGGCTAAGGCAGCCCTTCTTGTTGTTTGCTCAGCGATACATAACAACTTTCGAGATGTGGCTTTTGAATCTGACTCTCTGGAGCTTATTAGCTACATAAAGGGCGATTTCAAGAAAGGTAACTAGACCATATTTCCGTTGCTTATCTAAATTTGGAATCTTTCTTCTCATTTTCACTCAATCAACTGGAGGTGATTCCTTGTCAAGCGAATAGTGCAGCCGACTAGGTTGCGTCGCACTGTAAAAGAGGGATGTGCTCTGATGTTTGGGTCATAAGGCCCCTATCCTTTCTAGTCCATATTTTATCCAAAGATGGTCTCCCCTGCCCCCCCTAATTATTTTGGAATGGAGACTGGAGAATCGCAGATTGGACCTCAGCCCCGCTTTTGTGTCGTGCTCTGTCTTCTCCTAGTCTTAGCTCTTGGGCGAGTCCTTGGTTGGCTTCTTGTTCTATTTACCTTCTATTCTCTGTTGTGTGTAGCTTTTCTCTCCTTGTATTGCTGATTGGCTTCTAGGCTTTGCCCTTAATGAAAGGTTCCTATTTGTCCAAAAAAAAAAATCCTGAGTACCATAAACATCATAGACATCATCAATGGTGGTTACTAGAGCAACCAGTTTTGTCAGCTCTTTTCTGACATGCCTGTACTGAGGTTCAAAGATGATTCCAACCGACCAAAAAAATACTTCATCAATCTGTCTCTCGTGAAGCTCAACTTTTCAGCTAAGCCTATATCCACCCTCCACCTTTTTATTTATTGATTAGAAAGTCAACTTTCTTTAAGAAAAAAAAAATAGTATAAGGTCCAAAAAGGACCCGGAAAACAACTACAGGAAAATTAAAATGCCCAAGCAAAATAAGTGCAGCAACCCAAGATACAATGGGAAGCCCACATAAGCTTAGGCCTGAAGGCAGTAAAAATTAGAAAATAAAAAACCCTAATCTCCAGCAGCAAACACTACACCCGCCACTGACGTCACAGCCTCAGATGAAGTCAAACTTTGGACCAAGAAAGTAGACACCAAATCAAAAGCCCCTTCATGAACCCCTGCAAATATATACAAACAAAGTATCATACAGCACTAGTACAAAAACATACTTGCACGACAAAGCAAATTACGTCGCGCAAAGTATGTTTGCGCAATGGTTACAACAAAATGTCACGCAAAGGCATTTTGTGCAACGAAACTTTGCGCGACAAAGACAGTCGTCGAGCAAAACATCTTCGCACGATGAAGGAACACCTTCGTCGTGCAATGTTGGGACAAAAGCAGTAAAAGTCTTGGTTTGGCACCAAAATCTTGTGCAACGAAGGTGTGCATTCGTCACTCAAAGTCAACGACTTTGTGGTATAACATAAGATATTGTGATATCCATTTGTGTATATTTTAAATTGATGATCGAATTAGTTCATTGTATTCATATAGGATCAAGGAGTGTAGTTGTAAAAAAATCATCAAAATTGGAGTTAAAATAACCGTTAAATCATGATTTTTCGTTTATAATCGTTGAAAAGTTTTGTCTCATTACTTCATCTCTGAATGTTTGTTTTTTACGTATGCGATCTCAAATCATATACAAACAAGTTTGACGCTTGGATAGTTGCAATTAGTTTTGTAAAATGCATATCCCATCAAAACAATAGATTCACTAACACTTGAGAGTTTATTTATACTTCCATTAAGTATATAACATAAGATTTTGTGGTATCCACTAGTGTAAATATTTGAAATTGAAGATCGAGTTCATTCATTGTATTCATATAGGGTCAAGGAGTGTAGATGTAAAAAATCATCAAAATCGGAGTTAAAACAACTATTAAATCGTGATGTTTCGTTTATAACCGTCGAAACTTTTATCTTGTTACTTGATCTCTGAATGTTTGTTTTTGCGATTTTTGGCATATGCGATCTCGAAGTATATACAAACGTGTTTGATGGTTGGATCGTTAAAACTAGTTTCGTAGAATGTGTATCCCATCAAAATAATAGATTCACTAAAAAGAGTTTATTTATACTTTCATTAAGTATAACATAAGATTTTGTGGTATCCACTAGTGTAAATATTTTAAATTGACAATTGAATTAGTTCATTGTATTCATATAGGATCAAGGAGTGTATCTGTAAAAAATCATCAAAATGGAAGTTAAAATAATCGTTAAATCATGATTTTTCGTTTATAACCGTCGAAAAGTTTTGTTCTGTTACTTTATCTCTGAATGTTTGTTTTTTGCGATTTTTGGCGTATGCAATCTCGAAGTATATACAAACAAGTTTGACGGTTGGATCGTAGAATGTGTATCAAATCAAGTTTAATAGTATGTATATATTTATTAAGTAGCTTTAAATTTAGTTATTTTGTACGTATAATACTTAAGAAATTAAATGGTATGTATATTTATTAAATAGTTTTAAATGGGTTAGTGCGCAAAGTATAATGGACAAGGATTGTCTTCCCTCCACTTCTGATGCCCTCCTATTTGTGTGATCATGGTTAAATAACGTTAACATTTTATATTACTATTTATTTTTGTCTTATTATCTCTATAAAAAAAATAATATAAAATGTTGATATGGTTTAACTTGTCCAAGTATAATAGCGCAACGCTACAATGAGATCGTCGCACAAAGGCTAATAACGCGACGTCATAATTCTTTCCTGCTTCACGCAAGTTGTAAAAATAGGCGCTTATTTTGAATTTTCGCAAATAACTTGGACAAAATGGAGGAGTCCTTCCTCCTCATCCCTCTCGCTCATCTCGCCCTCTCCCTCACTCCGTCTCGCGTAGCCTTCCTCCCGACTGCACCCAGCCAGCCTCCTTCTCATCCTTCTCGAATCCTGGTTTCCCTCCTGTGCACACCCACCCACCTCCTTTTTCTGCTATGGTTACTGTGAGCGGGACTTCGACTCGCGAGACCGTGGATGCGTATTCGCACCCTTCCTTGCAAAGGTCCGCCGTGAATTGGCTCTCAGTGCTGTGGGAGACTCCACTCCAACCCCTATGTTCGCTATCAGCGACCGGGGGTTCTGATCCGGCCCCGATGATTTCTGATGACGCTGCATCAATCGATCCCGGTCACAAAACAATTCCAAGAGTTGGACAGCCCATCGCGAATCTCCTCGGTCACAACCATCGATTCCGTACCACCGTTGCTCTCGTCATCGCCGGTATTGCTTATGCTGTTCAACTGCTGTTCAACAGAGCAGATTGCTTATGCTGACCGCATCATTGTGAATAAGGTGCACTGATTTACACTGTACTACATTCAAATTGAACGATGGTGATTCTTGAAAACTCAAAATAGTGTGGCCCTTTCCTTTGGGGCATCATTATTTGTAAAAAAAAAAAAAAAAAAAAATTGCTCACTTCAAATTGCTTCTTTGGTGCAACGAATTAAGGTTTGTAACCTGTTTTTTTTTCCTTTCATCATGTTTGTTAATAATGACTATTTTATTGAACGGAATGTATTGTCTTGGAAATAGAAAATCAATCGCATGGCCCAACTCAAGCGGACAGAGTTTGGAAAAGTTAACCTGGATTATGTTCTTGGAATTGGTGGATTTGATTTAGAGAGGTAATCTATCACACCCATTTCATTGTTGTTGGTGGGGTTTAGACAATTCTGTCCCGTAATTTTTCTTCTTAGTGGACATTACTGCAATTTCTTTAAACTAGCTTCTCCAAGATGATGCATAATGGTTCTAACTGTTCTGCACAATTTCCATGTGAAAAGAAAGACAGAGTATAAGTTTTTCATAGAAGTTCCCTGCAAATTATGCCTTTATCTTTGGGCATTAAACTAACAATATCAATTGAATTTTTGTATCTTTGTGCTTGTGTAAATATTCTTTTTAAAAGTAGGAACATTGAGGGGACTAATGAATCTATTTGTAAAAGTAGCAGATGTAAGCAGAAAGAGGAATCCACCTCAGGTGAACAGCCCATCGCGAATCTCCTCAGTAAAATCAGTGCACCTTATTCACAATTGTTGACAGATATCCAACTCAGACAGAGGAATACACATCAGGTGAACAGCAGTTGGAATACCACAGGCAAGCATTTTCATGTACAGCCTATCAAACCCTCCAAAATCTTCAAATAGCATTTCAAATTCCTGGTATGAGAATTTAAAAATTAGAAACATAATTAAAATAGCTATTTGCTGCATGCATAATCTATTTATCTTTCTTTAGCTACATGCTTGCTTGAGAGTTATCAGAGGAGGGGTTTTGTCTCGTATTTGCAATGCGCCTATGTCGTAAGATACACTTTTAGGATTAATAATTGGATTAAGGCAGATTTCCAATATATAAATCATGTAACAGTTGCCAACTGACGACCTCTTATCCTTTCGAACTTTCTCTCTACCTTAGCTGGCTAGCTATGAACTTGATGATATTATCATGATGTCAATCAATTTAATCATTGAATTACTGCTTTTATTTCAAATGGTAGCCACAAGCCAACCATATCTTCCATGTACTTAAGCTTTCAATTTGCTTTGAGAACTATTAAATGTAATGAACTTTGGTATTGCCTTTGTTCCCTTAATCTGTATATTGCCTTTGTTTCCTATATCTTCGCTGCAACCTATTGGAGTCCAAGGGAGAAATGGTTCATTTCTTACGTTTTATCACATGGCAGCTCATATTTAGAACAAAGAGGGTGTGCTTTACCACAAGGATATTTGTCTTGCAAAGTAATACTTTGCCATCCAAAATTTTGGTAAGTCCTGGAGTCCTCTCATGTTTTCAATTGCTGTAATTTATTATTACTTGGTCTTCTCTGGGTTGTATTTCCCTCCAAATTGCTAGTGCTTTGCTTTCTCATGTTTCTTGCTTCGAACATTACTAGTGAACGACGACTGATTCCTGAATATTTCTTCAACTATCAAGAGGGGCGCTTGAGAGGGTTTGACATGTAGGTGTAGATATATGTTGTTGAGAGGTATTGACGTTTAAAGCCATGCATTGCAAATGGTTTTTAAGAAGGAATTTTAGGATGGTGCACTGTATTTGAATCTAATTACTTTTCATGCTAATAACATTTCTTACTTTTCTGTGCATCTAGTATTGTTTCTACCTTTGCAATACTGCTTTATATATATGTGAACAAATGCAAGAAAGGATTTTATATTACTTTGGCTGCTAATTGATTAGTTTCAAATGCAAGAAATGATTAGTTTCTAATGTTATATTTTTATGGTTCAAAAAGTGTATAGATGTCATAGTTGATCACTCGTTGTAGGAGTGTGACCAATGCGCCTCCCGTATTATCAACACCTACTGCTTCAGCCGTGAGTGCTACATTGATTGGGGAGCCACACCCCTTATTGAGGCTATTCTTATGGCATCCCAGGTGCTCGCATCATCGACGTCATTAGTGTCGGTTCAGTCGCTCAATGCATGGCGACCACAGGACAAGTCATAGCCTGACGGAGGAAGTGGCAATCCTAAAATGTCAGCTTGCGGCCCAACAAGCAGCCTGGGAGGCCAAACCAGCAGCCTGAGAAACCAAGATTGCAGCCCAGTTTTCAGCCCAGAATAAGAAGATGAGTATGATCTTACGGGCCTTACAGATGTCCGGCCTTCAAATCCCGATGCCAGCACCTAATCTTGCTCCACCTTTGACCTCCTAGCCACTTTGCCCAGTCGATACCCAGTAGCCTGATGCATCAAGTCTAGTAGACTACTTCTTGTAGTTTTTTCTTTTATGTTCAAACATCTTGTTGTTTATAATTTAATTACAATATTTATTAAAAATTAAATAAAAAATATTTTTGCCAAAAAAAAATAAAACAAGGGTTTGCACGACGAAGAAGCAACCTGCGTCGTCTTTGCGCGACGCATGTCTCTACGTTGTGCAAAACTGCTTTGCGTGACGTATGTCCTTGCGTGGCGCAAAGTAGGGGTGGGCACGGTTTGGTGCGGTTTTGAAGCCAAAACCGAAATGAAACCAAACTGTTTGGTTCAGTTCGGTGCGGTTTCAAACGATTTCGGTTTGGTTTTTAAGAAAAAAAATGTACAATTCGCAATTTAACATATTAATAAGCATTTCCCAGTAGCAATAAGAAAAAGACATTTGTTATATAAACAATTAGCATGTTGCATGCAGTTGTGATGTTAAAACATGTTTGTGCAACAAAAGGGTGTCCTGTACAAGGTATAACATAATACAAATTGAATAACTTTGAATTCATTAAACGTGAGCAAAATTTTCATACTAGAATATGTGATATCATGCTTCAAATGAGTGGATTTCATTAGATCATTGTTTGACTCTTGATAACAAGATTAGTCCAGCCTTGTACATATGTGTGTGTGTGTGATGGTATAAAATAACAAAGGTCCTTCAACTTAATGAACAAAAGAAAGTGATGAATGATGATATTCTAGTGTGGTTGAGTCCATACTAAGTGCATGGATTCTAACAAACAACCAATTAAAACATGAAATTTAATATGAACATTTAATTAAATGTTTATTAATATTTGCGGTGCTGTTCAGTTTCGGTGCGGTTTTCAAAAGTCAAAACCGAAACCAAACCGTTTTCTATGTTGCGGTTCGGTTTCAAAACCGAAACCGTTCCAAAATCGCAAAACCAAACCGTTTGGTGCGGTTCGATTTGGTTCGTGTTTCGGTTTCGGTTTTCGGTTCTAAGTGCCCACCCCTAGCGCAAAGTGCCTTTGCGCAATAGATAACCTACATTGCACAAAGGAGTTTTGCTTGATGTAGGGACATACAACGCGCAAAGACACTTTGCGCGATGTGGGTTGCTTCTTCGTCATGCAAACCCTGCTTTCACTGCCTTGGTGAGACAGTTGGCGTGCGACGAAGGTTTCATTGGGCTAATTTTCAGGCAACGTTTTTTGATTTTGCACAACGAAGGTACCTACGTTACACAAACTGTTTTTTGGTAGAGGGTGAGGCTAAGGGGGTATGTAAAATACCCAACACTTGGCCTCAATGGGGATCCGGCATAGGTATGCTGGTTGGGGGATGGGAAATGAAGGTGGGTAGTAGATTTGGGATCCTTTTCCTGATCGGAGACTGCCTATTTGAGTACATGGTGGGATGGGGATGTAGTATCACAACTAAAGAGAAGGGAGGACAGAAAGTTAAAATACAGAAAACAGTAAAATTAGGCAAAAGATGCCGAATAAGGGGCATGAAGCCCATATCTGAGATAAGCTCAGGGGATAGTTGAGAACCTAGCTCAGGGAAAATTGAGATAAACTCAAAGAGAACTGGGAATCAAACGAACGAATGAGACTGGAAGGAAGAGAGGAAGAGATGGATGCAAGGAGGGGGATGGAGCAGAGAATGTGAGAAGGGAGGAAAAGAAGAAAAAGGCAGAGGAGGGAAGGAGAGAAAGAGACAAGGAGGAGGGAAGAAGGAGATTGGAAAGAGGAGGAAGATGGCGGGTTGCGCTTACCTGAGCAAGAGCAAGGGGTGGTGGCTGAGAATTGAAGCCAGAGAAGAAGCTCTAGATCGGGGTTTCTAGAGAGAGAAACTAGGAGAGAGAGGGAGAGAGTGAGAGAGAGAAAACGAGTCGCTAAACGCAATATTAATGAAGCAAACACTGATTGAATTAGGATAATGCTTATGCTCGTAAATATATAATTACCTTGATGGTTTAAAACATATATGCAGTTGTAATATGAGTGCTGTGTTTAATTCTCTCTTCCCAAATGTGTATTGCATGTATAGGAGGAAAAAAGTTACCTTGATACTTCTTGTGAAGGAATATTTTGTGAAAACATGTTCATTTAAGCAACATCATATAGCATGCAATTAACAATTAAAGGCGGAATCATGCTAGCATGCACTTAAAAACAAAACATTAACCAAGAAATTCAAAGCCTAGTAGATTGGTGAACCATTAATCAACTCAAAACAAAGTGAGTTGAGATTTATACCTTTGTAGATTCCTCTTTGCATAAGCAAAGGCTAATCACCCAAAGAGAGGGCCTTCATTCCTTGCATCTTAAATCTATATTTTTGGATGGAAGAATAGGTTTCTCCAAGTTCCCAAAGTAGGGAACCTCTAAGTCTCTTCACCAAGGAGAGATTGGAGAAGAAATGAGTGACCTTGGAGTAGTGGGATTGCAAGATGCACCCCCCAAGGGGCCGGCCTCTTTAGAGAGAAAATGGAGAGACAAGTTCTCACCAATTTTCTCTAAAAGAAACCCTAATGAATTAAAAGGCTATAAAGTCATATTTATACCTTTATTCATTTGAGTGGCAAACTTGTAATTAAAGTCCAAGTTCACTACCCTTCCTCTAAATGGCCGGCCATGGGGTGTTGTTTGGGCTTTTGGGTCTTTAGTGAATCATTATTCATTAAGTTGTCATACAACTTAAGTCAATGGGCTTGACGTTCGAAGCCCATTGGGCCTTAAGGTCCAAAACTATCCCGAGGTCTTTAACGAACTTATTCGTTTGATTAATTAACATATTAATTAATCCTTGCCATAAATAAATGATTAAACCATTTAATCATTCTTACTCATCTCCGTTTAATCTTCCAATCTCCACCTCTTACGGTGTGCGATCCATTAGGTTCCTTTTAGCGAGGCAGTGGGCGATTAAAACCATTTTCAAATCGATTGTGAATTGAAACTTACTTTCAATTCTCCCTTTAGTGATTACACACGTTTAGGGCTTCCACAAACCATGAGTGACACCTTGCAGCATATCATGGTTACCCAAGCTAATCAGAAGAGGTAGAGAAAACCTATTCAGTTTGGGATTACAAATGCAATACGGTCTTTCTCTAATCTAATACTCCTGACCACATTGTTTGGTTTGATAGTTTATTTATTCATGTCTACTATCCAATGTGATTCGTGTGCTTATATGATTTCCTTGAATGTGATTTAGAACGACTTTTCTAAATCTCATTCATACTCTGGCCAGAGATTCTAAATCATATCATAGAGTATTCTCCCTCAAACGGTTTGAAGGTTAGAGATCCCTTGTTGCGCATTCACTTGCCTCCATGACTAAGTGGCTTAACCCCAACGATGCCGTGGACACCCCGATGGGGTGACTTTGACATAATCAAAGATCAAGGACTTAACCACAAGACAACTGTGATGCCTCAGGTCAAAGGACTAATTTGCATTATCCCAAACATGAGTTCTCATGTGACATGAGTATGAGAACTCTTCGTTGATCACGTTCAGTGAACTCATTCTCTACTGAGCACCTACGTACTTGTCTTGATGTCACACACACCAATGACTCGAGACTAGTCACTCTCCCTGAGAGAAGACATAGCACGTACCGATCTTGACGGACTGTCAATGCCCAATTGGCAATCCTATGATCAGGAACATTTAGGATGTGTCTACGAAAGAATGGTCTCATGAATCTAACTTCATTAGATTACATTCTTCCAATCACATATTCCTTGGACTTTATCGTTTAAGCATATAACATTTATATGAGACGGCTCAAACAATAATCTTTGCCCTTTATATTAAACTAGATTAGTTTAACATGTAAAATGTCCGTAAAGTATCATCATATGATTGGCTTTAGGGCACATTTCCAACATCTTGAAGATCCCTTTGGAGTGTGCATTGCACCCTGTTAAAATCTCGCTTGGCAATTTCAAGTAGCACCTGATTTACATCCGGCATCTTTCTGTATGCCTCAATATACTATCTAGCTTCTAACCTTTGCATTCTATGGTGCAGTGGAAGTTCCAGTGCATGACTCACTTGTTCTGCTAGTCCATTGGTAACATTAGGTCCACTGAGGTTCTTGAGATAATTGGTTGAGAATGCAAGGCCCTCATCCAAGAGGTTCTCTCCTTCGAAAGCAAAATATGAAGCTTCATACAGACTCAACATTCCTTTTACATCCTTGCAAAGCCATGCCTTGAAACTTCCATTATCGTCCATGAAGGTCCTGAATACATCTAACTTGCATACAAGTTATGACTAGAAGTACATTTGAAAGTTCTATGTCTAATGTCTTTATTTGTAGATTATCTATCGTTTATAACAATAAATAACAAAAAATTCACGTATTACATACCTTGGGAGACCTCAAACCCATGTTGTCTAAGGAGCCTGAAGCTGAAAGCAGTGAGGTGGAGACTCTGGTATGTTCCTTGGCAATCAATGTTGTTCAATATTTTTTTAAGGGCTCTTCTTATGTCATTTTCAAAGTAATATCTTAAACCCAACCGTTGGAATCATCAATGAACTCAAGTGTAGTCAGCGTGTTGATATCATTATTATCATGGAATCCACTTGAGTTCAACACGTGGGGAAGCTATGGAGGTTTTCATGGTGGCCATGGTTTTGGGGAGAGAAACGAGGATGGGGAAGCTATCTTGGATTTTGCAATGGCATATGATCTCTTCTTAGCCAACACCTTCTTTAAAAAGAGAGAAGAACATGTGATCACCTACAAGAGTGGGTCGTCAAAAACACAAATAGATTTCTTCTAATGAGGAAAGGGGATCGTATAACTTGTAAGGATTGCAAAGTTATACCAGGAGAGAGCGTGGCTAATCAACATCGCTTGTTGGTGATGGATGTACATATCAAAAGAGTGAGAAAAAAGAACAAGACTTGGAAGTGCCCAAGGACTAGATGGTGGAATCTAAAAGAAGAAAAACAAGCCATTTTCAAAGAGAAAGTAATCACCCAGTGTGTGTGGGATAGAGAGGGGGAAGCTAACCAAATGTGGGATTCCATGGCTAGTTGTATCCGAAAAGTAGCAAAAGCGGTATTAGGAGAGTCCAAGGGCTTTGCCCCACACCAAAAGGAATCTTGGTGGTGGAATGAGGAGGTACAAACAAAGGTGAAGGCTAAGAAGGAATGTTGTAAAGCCTTATACAAGGATAGGACCGATGAAAATGGTGAAAGGTATAGAAAAGCGAAGCAAGAGGCGAAGAAACCTGTTAGAGAAGCTAAGTTAGCGGCTTATGACGATATGTATAAGCGACTAGATACCAAAGAAGGAAAGTTGGATATCTATAAATTAGCTAGAGCAAGGGAAAAGAAGACAAGGGACCTAAACCAAGTGAGGTGCATCAAGGATGAGGATGGAAAGGTTCTTGCTACAGAGAACGCGGTTAAAGACAGATGGAAAGGTTATTTTCATAATCTTTTCAATGAAGGACATGAAAGGAGTGCTTCTTTAGGGGAGTTGAGTAACTCAGAAGAGTGTAGAAACTACTCTTTTTATCGTAGAATCCGGAAGGAAGAAGTGGTTGTAGCTTTGAAGAAGATGAAGCATAGAAAAGCAGTAGGCCCAGACGATATACCAATCGAAGTGTGGAAAGTTTTGGGAGAGACAGGTATAACATGGCTCACTGACCTTTTCAATAGGATTTTGAAAACGAAGAAGATGCCAAATGAGTGGCGAACGAGCACTTTGGTGCCTATCTACAAGAATAAGGGCGATGTACAAAATTGCATGAACTATAGGGGTATTAAGCTAATGAGTCATACAATGAAGCTCTGGGAGAGAGTCATTGAGCATAGATTGAGGCAAGAGACACGGGTTTCAGACAACCAATTCGGGTTCATGCCAGGGCGCTCAACCATGGAGGCAATCTATCTCTTACGAAGATTGATGGAAAGATATAGAGATGGGAAAAAGGATTTACACATGGTCTTTATAGATTTGGAAAAAGCGTATGATAGGGTCCCAAGAGACATTCTTTGGAGGATTTTAGAGAAGAAAGGAGTACGAATAGCATATATCCAAGCTATACAGGATATGTATGAAGGAGCAAAGACTGCCGTAAGAACTCATGAAGGACAAACCGAAAGCTTTCCCATAACTGTAGGATTACATCAAGGCTCATCCTTAAGTCCTTACCTTTTTGCGTTGGTAATGGATGAGTTAACAGGACATATTCAAGATGATATTCCTTGGTGTATGCTTTTCGCAGACGATATAGTGTTGATAGATGAAACTCAGGAAGGGGTAAATGCAAAGCTTAACCTTTGGAGAGAAGTGTTGGAATCTAAAGGTCTTCGCCTAAGCCGATCAAAGACAGAATATATGGAGTGCAAGTTCAGTGCAAATGGAGGCCAAAACGAGTTAGGGGTGAGGATCGGAGATCAAGAAATACCAAAGAGCGACCGTTTTCGTTACCTAGGATCTATCTTGCAAAAGAACGGAGAATTAGATGGAGATCTCAACCATAGAATACAAGCTGGATGGATGAAGTGGAAGAGTGCATCCGGCGTGTTGTGTGACCGTCGTATGCCACTGAAGCTCAAGGGAAAATTTTATAGGACGGCAATAAGGCCGGCGATGCTGTATGGCACAGAATGTTGGGCAGTGAAGCATCAACACGTACACAAAATGGGTGTAGCGGAGATGAGGATGCTTCGTTGGATGTGTGGGCACACGAGAAAGGATAAGATTAGGAATGAGGATATCCGGGGTAAAGTAGGAGTAGCCGAAATTGAAGGAAATATGAGAGAAAATCGGTTACGGTGGTTTGGACATGTGCAAAGAAGGCCTACTGACGCTCCGATTAGAAGATGCGACTATGGGACAGAGGTTCAGGGCCGAAGGGGTAGAGGAAGACCTAGGAAAACTTTGGAAGAGACCCTAAGAAAAGACTTAGAGTACTTGGATCTAACGGAGGACATGACACAGGACAGAACACAATGGCGTTCTAAGATTCATATAGCCGATCCCACTCAGTGACTTGGATTTTCCAAGTCTCCAACCGAGAAGTTTTCCTCACTCGGGAAATTAAGGGAACACTACCTCAACCTACATGTTCCACTCACAAAGCTTCAACATACAAGCTTCAACAAAAGAAAATTCAAAGAACTTAACGAAGAAGGCTTTGGTGTATTTAACACAATACGTTGAAATGAAGGAAAGCTTATTTATTGATATCCCCGATAAGTTACAAATATGTACATATACTTGAGTCAAAATAAACAAACAAGAGGGAGCCTTCACAAAGGTTGCTTAGGAGAAGTCTCAGCAGTCGGTAGAGCCCCAGAAAGAGAAGGCACCGGAGGGGGATCATTCGGAGCCTCAGTACTGGACAGAACCCTAGAAGGAGGAGGCATCAGAGGTTGATCATTTGGAGCTTCATTACGCGGTACAGCCCCAGAAGATGAAGGCAATAAATGCCTTTGGAACAAACCCACAAATCTCTGATGATCAAGTAAAACCTGACCATCAGATTCCTTCATCTGGTCAAGCTTCCTCTTCATGTTTGTAGCATAGTCATGTGCGAGCCGGTGCAACTGTTTATTCTCATGCTTGAGCCCTCTAATCTCCTGTTTGAGACTCATCACTTCAGCCGCCAATGATTCAACTTGGCGGGTTCGAGCAAATAGGCGTTGGGCCATATTAGACACAGAACCTGCACACTGAACACTGAGAGCCAGAGAATCCTTAACAGCCAACTCATCAGACCGTTTGGAAAGTAGTCTGTTATCTTTGGGAGTGAGAAGGTTCCTGGCCACTACCGCAGCGGTCATATCATTCTTCATCACGGAATCCCCAACGGTAAGAGGACCAGTAGGGGAGACGAAGGATGGGCGCCATATGTTGTCTGGAGAAGGCGAGGCTGCCTCTTCAACAAGGTTCAAGTCAAAACGACGGTCGGAGGGGCCAGACATTTTCAAAGGTGTTGAAGAGAGAAGAGGTCGGACAAATCAAGATCTTAGAAGTGCAAGAATGGAGCTTCTACTGGTGGATATTCAAGTGTGCTTTGGAACTTAATGTCAGCCCCTATAAAAATCTGCACTCGACGAAGCTTCAGAAATCGAAGAGGCGCCTGCTCAGAAATCGAAGAGGCGTTTGCTTTCTCAAAAGCTGGGCTGCTCAGAGACCACGAGGGTCGATCTCAGAAATCGAAGAGGCGTTTGCTTTCTCAAAAGCTGGGCTGCTCAAAGACCACGAAGGCCGATCTCAGAAATCGAAGAGGCTTGCTTTCTCAAAAGTTGGGCTACTCAGAGACCACGAGGGCCGATCTCAGAAATCGAAGAGGCACCTACTCTTCCAGCCTTGTCAGCAACTGTCACACGCACACTCAGCTTTGCGGAAATTATGGGCATTCTGTCGAACATTTCTGGCGAAGTAGAAAGCACATGAATCGTACTGTTCAATCACCCACTTCCCACACGCAACAGTAGCTCATGGGTACCACAGATAACTTTGCCAAAGTTCTCTGACAAAGTTGAGACACGTGAAGCTTGCAGCTCCCACTACATCGCTCTGACCAAGAAGGGTAAAACAATAGCAAAGAAACAACACTAACAAAGTTTAGACACATAAATTTTGAAGGTCTAGCTACCATATTATTACCCACAAGGGTAAAGGAACAGTACCACTGCTGGATAATTGGAAAGTCCCGGTGTGTCAACCTCTGTGCTTCGTGGCAAGGTAGACTAGCAAACATGCCCAACCTTTACTCACATTCGAGAAAACACTCCCAACAAGATTGCTTGCTCCAAAAATCGAAGAGGCACCGCCCTCCGAATCTCGAGAGCCAGACTCCCAACATGATTACTTTCTCAAAAATCGAAGAGAGGGTAAAGGAACAGTACCACTGCTGGATAATTGGAAAGTCCCTGTGTGTCAACCTCTGTGCTTCGTGGCAAGGTAGACTAGCAAACATGCCCAACCTTTTACTCACATTCGAGAAAACACTCCCAACAAGATTGCTTGCTCCAAAATCGAAGAGGCACCGCCCTCCGAATCTCGAGAGCCAGACTCCCAACATGATTACTTTCTCAAAAAATCGAAGAAACACCGCTCTCCGAATCTCGAGAGCCAGACCCCCAGCAGGATTGCTTTCTCAAAAATCGAAGAGGCATCGTTCTCCGAATCTCGAGAGCCAGATCCCCGACAGGATTGCTTGTTCGAAAAACCGAAGAGAAGCACCACTTTCCCAACTTCAAGAGTTGGATCTCCTTGGATAAAGCTTGTCTGTAATCTTCACACGCAACATCAGCTTTCCAAGATACCACAGACCACTTTTTCAAAGTGCTCTGACAGAGTTAAAACATGTGAAGCTGGCAGCTCCCACTACCGTGCTATGACCAAGCAGGGTAAAGGAATAAGCATTATTACTTGATGTTAGGGAGACTCCTATATATGTCGACCTCCATCCCCAACGGACAGGCAGACCTGCAAAAATGCTCAACCCTTCCTCTTATCTGAGAGGGCACTCCCAACGAAGCCTTTCGAAATATTCAGCTTTCTTTCCCCCCGATAATACCTCTGTAAACAAGCTATACTAGAGCAAGAATATCTCATATCATCAGGGTTAAAAGCAAGAGTATCCCATATCATGCTTTTTCCCTGTCTTTTCCTTTGGCCTTGTTCTTACCTGCAAGACAAGGAGAGAAAGAGAGCAATCAGTCAGCACTTGGAATCAAGCTTCCAGCCAGGAACTGACTGCCTGGAACCCCTTACCTGATTACTTACTTGGCATTGCTCTCGAGTACTCATCTTCAACATTTTATGCTTCCAGGGAAGATACCGCATCTGCCTGAGGAACAGATAGGGCAAGTGAGAAGGATACAAGGAAGCATGTGGAGACAAGCGTAACAGCACACGTGCCGATACATCCACTACTCTGTCAAAAGCAAAAGTATCCCATATCATCAGGGTTGAACGTACTCTAGATTTGATGGACTTGTTTTGACCCTCAAATTCTTCAGTCGGCCTTATACTCTGGAGGAAACCAGAAAACCCTCCAGCCCAGTTCAAGAATAAGCTTGTGGAAAGTTACTTCTTCAAAAGCAAAAGTATCCCATATCATCTCTTCTCATTTTTCTTCTCTTTATCCTTCATGCTGCCTGCAAGATAGGGAGAATGTGAACAATCAGCCGGAGCTCTGATTGCTTACCTTGTCTGTCACCTCTTTCAGCAGATCCCCTAGCTCGGCGACTTGGGGGACTCCTACTACATGGTTTGTATCGCGCTTGACCAAGCCTGAAACTACAAGTAAGCTTCAAGTGAAATTGATACATTACCTTGTGCATCTCCACCAGTTACAGATACCACCCCTGGATGGAGGAAGAGTACTTCCAGAAAAGATGCCATATCTACCTATGAGACAGATAAGGCAAGTCAAGACGATACCACACTCCGGTACTTAGAAGTTTCGTGGTTACGAGATCATTTCTCCCACAATATTTCCTAATGTCATGTCATTTGTACTAAATCATTCACTTTGTACTCACTAAAGGAGAGCTTGAACCTATGTACTTGTGTAAACCCTTCACAATTAATGAGAACTCCTCTATTCCGTGGACGTAGCCAATATGGGTGAACCACGTACATCTTGTGTTTGCTTTCCTATCTCTATCCATTTATATACTTATCCACACTAATGACCGGAGCAATCTAGCGAAGATCACAAAAAGTGACCGTTTTCGCTACCTAGGATCTATCTTGCAAGAGAACGGAGAATTAGATGGAGATCTCAACCATAGAATACAAGCTGGATGGATGAAGTGTAAGAGTGCATCCGGCGTGTTGTGTGACCGTCGTAGGCCACTGAAGCTCAAGGGAAAATTTTATAGGACGGCAATAAGGCCAGCGATGTTGTATGGCACAGAATGTTGGGCGGTGAAGCATCAACACGTACACAAAATGGGTGTAGCGGAGATGAGGATGCTTCGTGGGATGTATGGGCACACGAGAAAGGATAAGATTGGGAATGAGGATATCCGAGGTAAAGTAGGAGTAGCCAAAATTGAAGGAAATATGAGAGAAAATCGGTTCCGGTGGTTTGGACATGTGCAAAGAAGGCCCACTGACGCTCCGGTTCGAAAATGTGACTACGGGACAGAGGTTCAGGGCCGAAGGGGTAGATGAAGACCTAGGAAAACTTTGGAAGAGACCCTAAGAAAAGACTTGAGTACTTGGATCTAACGGAGGACATGACACAAAACCGAGCGCAATGGCGTTCTAGGATTCATAGCCGACCCCACTTAGTGGGAAAAGGCTTTGTTGTTGTTGTTGTTGTATGTTTGGAAGTGATGGGAAAGAAACAAAGGAACTACCAATTTTTTTGAGATATAATAGGTATTTTCAATTATTAATTATTTGGGAAATTTTATTGGAACCCATTTAACCTCTTTCTACACCCAAAACAAAAAATATTTTCTTAAAATTCCTAATTCACCCTTTGATTAAAACTGAAAAAAAAAAAAGAAATAAACAAAACTAAAATCTCTTTCCACACCCAGTGGTTCTCTTCCACCTCAAACCCCACGGAAGATTCACCGGCGATTCTCCATGGAAACTTCAATTCAAATTCTTTTAGCATCACAACCGCCTTATATGGCACCGGAACGGAGTATGGATCTGGATACGGTCGAAAGCCCGAGTATAAGGCACCGGAACCAGAGTATGGATATGGGTACGGGAGAAAGCCCGAGTATGAGGCATCGGAGTCCGAATATGGATCTGGGTATGGTCGAAAGCCCGAGTTTGAAGCACCGCCAGCTGAATTCGGATCTGGGAATGGTTGGAAGCCGAGCTACGGTGAGGAATCTGGTTATGGCGATAAGCCACCGAGAAGCCGAGCTATGGTGAGGAAGGCGGTTATGGAGAAGAGCCACCGAGAAGGCCAAGTTATGGGCGGCCCAGTTATGAGACGCCAGAAAGTGAGGAGAGGCCGGGTTACGACGAAGAGCCGCCGAGGAGGACCGGCTATGGAGATGAGCTGCCACCCCCGAGGCCAAGCTATGGGAGGGCCGGCTACGAGGGCCAGGAAAGTGGGGAGTATGAGAAGCCCAGTTATGGGAGGAGCGAGGAGCAGAAGTACCGCTGCCCTGGTGGTTATGAGAGGCGCGGCGACGATGATTCTGATTTTGAGCGTCCTAAGTATGGTGAAGAAGGCTATGGTCGCAAGAAATATGTGAGAACCTTTAATGCCGGCATTATGATTGAAGAGCGTGATAAATAGAGGAGGGAGATAATATGAAGGAGGAGGTGGTTTAGAGGTGTTGGCAACAAGATATTCATGTTGGCGTTAGTGAAGAAGACGCTGGAAAATGGTGGGCAGATACATGGGTTTATGTTCTTTTAATTTATTTTTACTTTTTAAATAACGTCAGGGCAAAATGGAGAGTTTAATGGCAAAAATATTTAAGTTGGGTTTGAAGATAAGATAGTTAGGTGTAAATAAAATTTCCCTAATTATTAATGGTTTATATTGGTTTTCCCTTGAGTAAGAAAATGATTTTCCAAGGTGGATGGAGGGCATCCCTTTTCCCTCTATTTTCACTTGGCCAAGGCAATCATTTCCCAAGAATGACCTTACCAAACATGGAGATGCAATATTCCCATTCTCAAGCCCATTTCCCCCCAAAACAAACACACCCAAAAAGGAAAAGCATTTTTATTGAAACAGGTGTTGAAAATGCTGGTGGGTTAGTGAATGCCCACAATGATGTTGAAAACACACAGATTGGATTTTCAACATTGGCAGTGTTGAGATGTGGACTTTGGAAATGAAGGAGATCGTTTTTCAAAAGATGTATTGTAAATTTCAAACTGTAATAATACGGAGTTGCTCTATAAATAGAGCGCTCCGACTACTGTTAAAGGACAGTGTGATATACAGAACGAAAGAAAGATCAATAACATCATCTATTTCTCCCTCTTTTATTTGTCATCCTCTTGTGCTATAGCTTTAGTGTGATATTTTACACCTGCTTCGTTCCTGTCACTAGTAAAGGTTATCTCTCTAACTTTTACATATTATAACACGTTATCAGCGCGAGTCTCTAAAACCTAACCATTTTTTCATTTCTCTTTGCCCAACAAAAGAAAGGAAAAAATGTTTCCTCTAAGGTTTTTACTGTTCATCTTCTTCCTCTGCCTCAACTGCGCGATATACCCTCGTGACGAACTGTTTGCTCCATGCCTGCTTCTAGTTCTCAACCTAACAGTTACATATATATTTGATTTCTTGTTTGGTGTTGATCTTGATTACTAACCCAGTATTTATTTATGTTGATTTTACTGCAATCCAAGATGGTGCGGTACAATCGCCCATCTTGAACTGCAAATTTAATCTTATTGTGATCCAAGATGGTGAGGTATCATCGCCTATCTTGAACTGCAGATCTAATTTTACAGAAAATTTTAGGTGGAGCGGTATAATCGCCCACCCTACCCTACATATTTAAATTTGCCTGCTATTTAATTTCATTGCAATTTTAGGTGGTGCGGTATAATCGCCCACCCTGCTATGCGTATTTAAATTTTTCCTGCTACTGGAGTGGTGCGGAATAATCGCCCATCCTATGTTGTATTGTTTCAATGAGAATGGTGCGGTATAATCGCCCTCCTCATTCATCTTGAAAATCTCGAGCCTGAAGTTTCAAGTGCTTATCATTTTGGCCTGAAGATCAAAATGAAAATTTTGTAAGAACCAGAAGTTCTAACACTATATTCTACCAGGAATACATATTATTGCAAGTTCTTTCACATCTCATTTTCTTTCAGAAAAGAAAATGGGGAACTTGGTGAAGCTTGATTTTGTTGCCCTGGACATTACTGGGAATAGTTACCTTACCTGGGTACTGGATACCAAGATCCATCTGGAAGCAGGGAATCTTAGAGATACCATCAGGGAAGAGAACAGCTCATCCTCTCTAGATTGGGTGAAGGCCATGATCTTTAATCGTCGCCATCTTGATGAGGGACTAAAGAACGAGTACTTAACGGTTGAAGATCCGTTAGCCATTTGGAAGACATTGACAAACAAATACAATCACCAGACAACGGTGATTCTTCCAAGGGCTCACTCTGAGTGGACTCACCTAAGGATCCAAGATTTCAAGTCAGTAGGTAAGTACAATTCTGTATTGTTCAGAATTACCTCTCAGATGAAGCTCTGTGGGGATACTATTATTGAGGAAGATATGCTGGAAAAGACTTTCAGCACATTTCATACCTCTAACGTGCTCCTGCAGCAACAGTATAGAACGCGAAGCTTCACTGAATACAACCAGCTGATATCTGTGCATTTGGTAGTTGAGCAAAACAATGAGCTCCTGATGAAAAATCATCAGTCCCGACCTACTGGATCTGCACCATTCCCAGAAGTGAGTGTTGCTTCCCTCGAAGTGAACCCCACATCCTCTAGTGGTGATAATCATAAATGAAGATGTGGCCACAAGCATGGTCGGTGGAATAGGAAAGGCAAGAACCATGGTGGTCAGTTTCACAACCAGGTTCCAAGGCATAATTTAGGCCAAAGTTTAAAAAATGTGAATCGCCACAAAGGCAAAGCTCACATGAACAATGCTCCCAGGAACTCTGAAGGAGTCTGCCACAGGTGTGGTGGCAATGGGCATTGGGCGCGTACTTGTCGTATCCCAAAACATCTGACGGATCTATATCAAGCCTCCCTCAAGGAGAAGGGTGTCGAGACTAATTTTCTCGACCAGGCTAAACCAATGGATATACCTGATCCAGTGTGCGACTTATTAAAGCAGTTGAACACAACTCACCTAGATGTTTCGGACTTCATTGTGGAAATGGGGAATGAAGTGTATCGGTCCGACTGAATCATTTATGTTTGATGTATTTTTATTATGTTGAACTTGTAGTCTAAAACTAGCATTTTAGATTCAATAAAAATGGCATGTAAATTTCCTGTTATAACTTGCTTCTAACTCTGATTCCCTTACTCAGAGAGCATGGATAAAAACTATGGTCATTCTCAAAACATGAGAAATGGCGAAGATATTTGTCTTGCAGACTGTGGAACTACACATACAATATTTCGAGATCGAAAGTATTTCTCAAGATTGATGCTTACAAAAGTAAGGGTAACAACAATATCAGCACCTTCAGATGTAATTGAAGGCTCAGGGAAAGCCCAGATTATGTTACCAAATGGAACAATAGTGTCCATACAAAATGCATTGTATGCTACTCGATCTATTTGAAATTTGTTGAGTTTCAAAGACATACGTTTAAATGGATACCACATTGAAACGAAAAGTGCAGAAAATGTGGAGTATCTATGCATTACCTCCAATGATACCCAGAAGCGTATATTGGAGAAGTTGCTTGGTTTGTCGAGTGGATTGTATTATACATACATAACGACAGTTGAATCACATACTGTCGTGAACCAGAAGTTCATTGATTCAAAAGTTTACATGTTTTGGCATGACCGTCTGGGTCATCCAGGATCCCTCATGATGCGTAGGATCATTACCAACTCTAATGGACATCCATTATTGAGCAAACATATTGCTATCACAAATGATAACCCTTGCAAACTTGTTCTCAAGGGAAGTTGGTAATAGACCATCAAACTAAAGGTTGATGTTGAATCCCCATCATTTTTGCAAAGAATTCAAGGGGATATTTGTGGACCTATTCAACCATCTTGTGGACCATTTCGATATTTTATGGTTTTGGTTGATGCATCTACCAGATGGTTACACGTTTGTCTCTTGTCTACTCGGAATGTAGCTTTTGTGAGACTTCTTGCTCAGATAATTAAGTTACGAGCACAATTCCCAAATTACCTCATTAAGTAAATCCGACTTGATAATGCTGGTGAATTTACGTCTCAAACCTTTGATGATTACTGCATAACATTGGGCATTGATGTTGAACATCTTGTTCCTCATGTCCATACTCAAAATGGTCTAGCAGATGCATTGATCAAGCGGCTTCAGTTAATAGCTTGCACTCTGCTCATGAAAACAAAATTGCTAGTTTCTGCATGAGGACATGCCATCTTACATGCTACATCATTGGTTCGATTGAGACCTATAGCCAACAACCAATACTCCTCAGTACAACTTGTGTTTGGGCATCAACCAAACATTTCACATTTACGAGTTTTTGGTTGTGCTATTTATGTGCCTATTGCACCCCTGCAACGCACTAAAATGGGACCTCAGCATAGACTAGGAATTTATGTGGGTTTTGATTCACCATCCATCATTAGATATTTGGAACCATTGATAGGTGATATGTTTACAGCTCGCTTTGCTGATTGTCACTTTGATGAGACAGTCTTCTCGTCGTTAGGGGGAGAAAAGACCGTTCCAAAAGAACGGAAAAAGCTGACATGGGTTGTTCCCACCTTGTCTCATTTTGATCAATGTAGCACTTAATGTGAAAATGAAGTGAAAAAGATTGTTCATCTTCAAAGCATTGCCAATCAAACGCCAGATGCAGTTAATGATGCTATGAAAGTAACAAATCACATATACCAGCTGCAAATGCACCTGCAAGAATTGATGTCCTTATTGGACAAAATAAAGTGGCAGCGAATGATTCATCTGGTGCACGCTTGCAGCGTGGTAGACCACCAGGTTCAAAAAATTCAGCCTCTCGTAAGAGAAAGACAAGGGCACAGTTGAATCCAAATGAAATCATTCAAGAAAAGAGAATGAATGACAAATCTACAATTCATGATTCTGGACTTCTAGAAAAAGAAAATGTCCTTGATGAGACACATGTCCCTGAAGAGAAAGCAGTACATGAAAGCAAAGAAATCTCCATAAATTATGAATGTACTAATGAATTGTGGGATCAGAATGAAATAATCATCGACGATATGTTCGCATTTGCAGTAGCCACTGAAATCATATTAAGTGATGATATTGAGCCCCGCTTTGTTGATGAATGTAAGCAAAGACAAGATTGGCCTAAGTGGAAAGATGCAATCCAGGCAGAATTAAATTCCTTGGAAAGGTAAAATGTTTTTGGACCAGTAGTCCAAATCCTGCCTGGTGTAAACCCTGTGGGTTACAAATGGGTATTCACAAGGAAACGCAATGAGAAAAACGAGATTGCAAGATATAAAGCACGACTCGTTGCACAAGGTTTTTTCGCAAAGACCTGGAATTGATTATGAGGAGACATACTCTCTTGTAATGGACGTAATTACGTTCTGTTACTTAATAAGTTTAGTGGTTTTAGAAAAACTTGACATGCAACTTATGGATGTCATCACCGCGTATCTATATGGAGAATTAGATACTGACATATATATGAAAGTCCCAGAAGGACTTAAGTTGCCTGAAACAACTAACAAACCACGAGGTATGCTCTCGATCAAATTAAGGCGATCATTGTATGGGCTGAAACAATCTGGACGAATGTGGTATAATCGTCTCAGTGAGTATTTGATCAAAGAACGGTATATCAACAATGTCATTTGCCCTTGTGTTCATTAAGAAATCCAACTCTGGATTTGCTATAATGGCAGTATATGTTGATGATATGAACCTAGTTGGAACCCTTGAAGAGCTCAATAAAACTGCTGAATATCTGAAAAGCGAATTTGAAATGAAAGATCTTGGAAAAACAAAATTTTGTCTCGACCTGCAGATTGAGCATTGTGCTAGTGGAATTTTGGTCCACCAATCAGTTTACATTGAAAAAATCCTGAAGCGATTTGGTATGGACAAGGCTTATCCACTCAGCACGCCAATGGTCGTTCGTTCTCTGGACGTTAAGAAAGATCCATTCCTTCCAAAAGAAGATGATGAACTGGTCCTTGGTCCAGAAGTACCATATCTGAGTGCAATAGGTGCTTTATTATATTTAGCACAATGTACTAGACTAGATATAGCTTTTTCAGTTAACTTGTTAGCAAGGTATAGCTCTGCTCTAACAATTCGTCATTGGAAGGGTGTCAAAGATGTATTACGATACCTTCGTGGGACAACATACATGAGTCTCTTCTACTCAGAGAAATCCACAAATGACCAGATCCTTACTGGATATGCAGATGATGGTTTCCTCTCTGATCCGCATAAAGCTCGCTCACAAACTGGATATGAGTTCAAGAATGGAGATACAACAATCTCATGGCGCTCAACAAAGCAAACACTAGTTGCTACATCTTCAAATCATTCAGAAATACTTGCTTTACATGAAGCAAGTCGTGAATGTTCTTGGTTAAGATTAATGATCCATCATATCTAGAATTCATGTGGTCTAACTTTGAAGACAAACAATCCAACTGTCATTCATGAAGATAATGCAACCTGTGTTGCCCAAATGAAGGAAGGATTCATCAAGGGCGACAAAACTAAACACATATCTCCAAATTTTTTCAACACATATGAGCTTCATAAGGCTAAAGTTATTGAAGTCGGACAAATTCGTTCCAATGAAAATCTGGCAGACTTGTTCACCAAGGCCCTACCGAAATGCACGTTTCAAAAGTTAGTGCAAAGTATCGGATAACGTCGACTTACCAAACAACCAAATTTGGAGAATGCGGAATCAGGAGGAGATACATGTCAGGGGGAGCATCCATGATACATGCATGTTGTACTCTTTTTCCTTCAATTAGGATTTTTCCCACTGGGTTTTTCCTATCAAGGTTTTAACGAGGCAACATAAACATACTTAACACTATATCAACAATCCAGGTAAAGTTGTACTCTTTTTCCTTCGCTATGGTTTTTTCCCACTGGGTTTTTCCAAGCAAGGTTTTAACGAGGCAACTGATGTTGATATGTGGGCATCCAAAGGGGAGTGTTGAAAATGCTGGTGGGTTAGTGAATGCCCACAGTGATGTTGAAAACACACAGATTGGATTTTCAACATTGGTAGTGTTGAGATGTGGACTTTGGATATGAAGGAGATTGTTTTTCAAAAATGTATTGTAAATTTCAAACTGTAATAATACGGAGTTGCTCTATAAATAGAGCGCTCCAACTACTGTTAAAGGACAGTGTGATATACATAATGAAAGAAAGATCAATAACATCATCTATTCCTCCCTCTTTTATTTGTCATCCTCTTGTGATATAGCTTCAGTGTGATATTTTACACCTGTTTCGTTCCTGTCACTAATAAAGGTTATCTTTCTAACTTTTACATATTTATAACAACAGGTTCATTTTTACAAGAAATATATGCATTTTATTCCAAATAATTTTCACTGTATTTCTCGACTCTTGCCCTCTTTTTTTTGTTAGCTTTACAATTGAGTAGATCAAAACAACATTACGGTTACAAACAAAGAAAAGAGTACTCAAAGAAAAAATAACATGAACATGGTCTCTGCATTAATCGAGAGCTTGTAAGGAAGGGTGGTGTTGAGGTTATTCCTTCCTAGTGCTACAAACATGTTGAATATAAGAACACAAGTAAGGGTGTCGAATCCACAGGGACTAATTAGACCTATATAACCACTTGTTTTGCAAGAACCCTAATAGAAAGTAGAACTAAACAATTTAGGCAGTTTTGAGGTTGTAACTTGAAATACACGGAAATGAAATGAATACAAGTAAATGAATCACAAGTAATGTAATGAGGTAGAACCAAGGGAGTTGAGGTTAGGGATTGTAACAATATGGAGTAGGCTAGGGATTCGATTTCACCTCTTCTAATCAATTCCATGTTGTTAATTCAGATTATGCTCATCAGTCTATCTATTTCTTGAGTTTGTTTCACTTAGATATGATCATCCATATGATGTGTGGTTTTGATCAAATATTCCTAGTCATGAACCTAATTGTGATGTGCAACTTTGGTTCCTAAACAAGAATGTATTAAGCATAAGAAACTTTCATAAAACCAAAGGAAACACTTGGCATGATGTTTGCCAAACATTCCCTTCAATCATTCCCATCTCTGCCAAGGTTATGCATGATGTGTGCTCTAAGATTGGCTAAACAACTTATGGTTAATTCAAATGGTGATCAAGCATTAGAATCAACACACAAAGTCACAATTAAATTAGAGAATGAAACAAGAAATAGAATGATAAACTGAGCATTCCAAATTAACTACATGGCAATCTTTCTAGGCTACATCGAATCCCTATAGAGAGATTAGTTACACTTCATGTTTACAAAGATTTGACATATAAATATAACACATGAGTGTACATAAAATTGAGAGAAGAAAAACCCCTTGAAGCAAAACTGGAATCGAAAATCACTTGAGAATGGCCTTCGGTGCTAGCTCTCCAAGTGTGTGCTATAACTCCTCCAAGAATGATGTATAATGAAGGTGGGTACGGTTGTGGTGAAATGGTTGGTGAAATACGGTGAAGAGGATGGACAGAAAATGGAGAGGTTGTGTGTAAGAAGAATAGAATGAATGTGTAAGGAATGTCCCTTCTGGAGTGGGATTGCATGGACTTTTAAAAATGAGGTCTCTTGGGAGAACATGCGGCTGTCTAGCCAAAGAATGAAGCTGCCCATCTGAATGATGATGGAATGAAGTGTTTTCTGAGGTGGTGGATGCACGGCACAAGGTGTAGATGCAAACATATAGCTATTTTAATTGAACATGCATGTGTGTTTGCTGCAAAGCTGAAATGGACAGCCTGGAATTGGTTGAACAAATCTGGAAAAGGGAATGAATGTGCACGGCATGGATTTGCTTTGAGGTGTACAAGTGGGCTGAATGGATTAGTTTAATGGAAGCACATGTGCTGCTGCAAAAAGAGGGCTGGAAATGTAAGGAGATGCACGGCAAGATTGTGAACATGCATGTGGCTGAAATGTGGCTGAATGGTGTAACTAATGGGGGTGAATGTGTTCTTGGTGAAAAAGGGGGTGAAAGGGTAACCAATGCATGCTAAGGTGTGTTAAACCTCCCAATCTGAATCCAATGCATGTGCCATGCATAAAATCACCCAATCCGGCCGAATTGCATCCTTTGTCAATTCCTGAAATTCTAGCAACCAACTTGTCCTCAATTCTTCACTTGGACTTCAAGTTAACTCACAAGATGTTCTCCATGCTTGAACTAGCTCTCGGCCACAAAATGTGGTGTTTTTGCTTCATTGCCTTCCAATTGATCCTAAAACAAACTTAACTACACACTAACACCAAATAATGTAAAATGCAACAAGCTTGATCAAAAACATCACAAAGACACAAAATATGAATGCTGTAAATGCATATAAAATGTGAACTAACAAATACCCCCAAACCTGGTTTTTGCTAGTCCACGAGCAAACTTAGAATTAAAACACACAAAACACTAACATCTAACAAACACTAACAACTAACTACACCACTTTCGCTGGCCAAACGATTGCACTGAGCATGTGCAACAAGCCTTTGAACCCCTAGGTGTCCCTAGTTGGAGGAGTTGTGTCTCCTGAGGGTTTACAAAGATGACACCCTCAAACATCTACAAAATCTGCACACAATTTGGTTAAACATGCTTTAAACAAACTAATCAAAACCAATGAAACTTTGTTTTACACTCAAACTCAAAAGCCTTGCCATTCCATAGAATCATATCAATTGTAATGTATAAAGATATTCCACCATGTCTTACAACTTCAAGGTCACCATACCCAAATGCTTAAGAATGAATTCGCCTCAACTCTATTCCTCACGGCTTTCACTCAAGTTCTCACTCAGATCCTAAAGTTTAGTCTCTCTACTAACATATGTGAGTGAAGTTATGTAAAGGAAATCAAAATTCTCACATATAAACTTGAAATGAAAGCACAATTCTGAGTAGATCTCATGAAATGAATCAAATGCTAAGAATATAGATAACACACACACTTACCATCACCCATGAATATGTCCTCAATGATCAACTAGGTCTTTCTCAAGATTTCAATGTAAGGCTTAGGTTATAGGTTATGAAAGAAGTGATATGGAATACTAGAGCTTGGGGCATACCAAAGTGTCCTTGAGGTCCATGCTTTTTACTTGAATTTATCTTCTTTCTTCTTCATTCTTGGTGTCCAAGCCCTATGTCTTATAATAAGGAGATTTGGAATTTGTTTTCACTTGATTCTCTTCTCTTTTTTTTTTTTTTTTTTTTTCTTTAAGTCTCCCAAAATTTTTTTAGAACCACACTTCACATAGGTGCCTTTGGTACACGCCGCAATCTTGATCTATCATTCAAATGACCTTTGGACTTCATCACATTGGCATTCCCAAAGCTATAAGGTACGGCTTGTATTGAGCTAGGATGGGGTTAGAGTATGGTGTGGGTGATGAAATGATTAGGCAAAAGTGTTTGGCTGCAAAGAGGGTGAATGGAGCACACAAAGGGATAGGATTTAGCCTTTTAGAAGTTAAAACATGCATAGCCTAACATCATCTCATTGAGTTCATTCATGAATGGTACTAAACACTTGGTATCTACAAACGAGAGTAATTCTTAGCATTCAAAAAAAATAGTAGCAATGAGATCATTTAAAATGAAATTTGCAAGAAAAAGATAGGAGTAGAAACACTTTAAACCCTCTCAAAGAAGCAATTTAGGCTCAAAATAACTCACTAGGGTAGTTTCCACTATTCTTCTTGGTGAATTTGAGTATGGTACCTCTATCATCATATCACAAGTGTTACAACTTTATACATGCCAACAAGATACAAAACTCTTTCATAGTGACCCCAAAGTTTGTTTGCAAACATAGCCTTCATATACATTCGAATTAGTAAGCAAAAACAAATTTAACCAACACAAACACAAACAAACACTAAAACATGCTTTTCAACACTAAAACAAACCTTTCACACTCAAACAAACAACTTAACCAAAACCATCACAAAAACAAACTTTCCATCCATAATTCCCCCAAACCTAACTTAAACATTGTCCTCAATGTTACATTTGAATGTAGTGCATGGAAACAACATAATCACAACATAAAGAAAGAACACGAACCACACTAGGTTGCCTCCTAGTAAGCGCTTCATTTAATGTCTAGGCAAGACATGGCAGCTTGTTCATGGTGTTGTAAACTCAAGAAAATCCACAACTTGATACATTAGCTCATCCTCCACATTGTCCAAGTATGGTTTCAATCTCTGCCCATTGACTTTGAAAGAGGTGCCATTCTTCATGTTCTCTATTTTCCACAGCTCCGTGGGGAAATGTTTGCAACACTTTGAATGGTCCTACCCATCTAGACTTCAATTTACCTGGAAAAAGTCTCAAACGTGAGTCATACAAAAGTACTTTCATACCTTGGTGAAACTCCTTCCTTAGAATGGCTTTGTCATGATAGAGCTTAGTCCTTTCCTTGTAAATTTTGGCATTCTCGTATGCCTCATTTCTGAACTCTTCCAACTCATTAAGTTGGAGCTTCCTTGCTATTCCAGCATCCTTGTAATCAAAGTTGAACTTCTTAATGGCCCAATATGCTCGGTGTTCAAGCTCCATTGGCAAATGACAAGCTTTCCCAAATACAAGTCGATATGGACTCATGCCAATGGGAGTCTTGTATGCTGTCCTATATGCCCAAAGTGCATCATTCAACCTCAAAGACCAATCCTTCCTTGTAGGGCTCACAGTCTTCATCAAAATGTTCTTGATCTCCCTATTGCTAATCTCCACTTGTCCTGAGGTTTGAGGATGGTACGGGGTTGCCACTTTGTGGTTGATGTTGTACTTCTTCATCAATGATTCAAAGGGTTTGTTGCAGAAATGGCTACCACCATCACTAATAATAGCTCTTGGTGTTCCAAACCTACAAAAAATATCATTTTTAAGAAAGTTCAACACAATCTTATGATCATTAGTTCTTGTAGCAATGGCTTCAACCCATTTAGATACATAATCTACGGCTACTAAAATGTACAAGCAACCAAAAGATGATGGGAATGGTCCCATGAAGTCGATTCCCCAAACATCAAAGAGTTCTACCACCAAAATGTTGTTCAAAGGCATCTCATTCCTTCGGCTTATGTTCCCCATTTTCTGGCACCTATCACACTTAGAACAAAAATCAAAAGCATCTTTGAATAAAGTAGGCCAAAAGAAACCAGATTGTAAAACTTTTAGGGATGTCTTTTTGGCACCAAAATGTCCTCCACATGCCAATGTATGGCTAAATGTTAGAATGCTTTGGTGTTCACTCTCTGGGACACATCTCCTAATGATTTGGTCAGGACAATACTTAAACAAGTATGGTTCATCCCAAATGTAATGTTTTACCATAGCAAGGAACTTCTTTCTTTCCTGAAACGAAATGTCATCTCTCAATACACCACAAGCAAGGTAATTGACAAAATCAGCATACCATGGTTCTTTTTCTTGAACAACAAAGAGTTGTTCATCTGGAAATGATTCATTTAGAGGCAAGGGTGGTCCAACTCCATGGTTCTCATCAAGCCTAGACAAATGGTCAGCCACAACATTGTCACTTCCCTTCTTATCTCGGATTTCCAAATCAAACTCTTGTAATAAGAGTATCCATCTAATTAGGCGCGGTTTAGCATCCTTCTTTGTCATCAAATACCTAAGGGCTGCATGATCAGAAAACACAATAACTTTAGATCCCACAAGATATGACCTAAACTTTTCTAAAGCAAAGACAATAGCAAGCAACTCCTTTTCAGTTGTGGAGTAGTTGAGTTGAGCATCATTGAGAGTCCGGCTTGCATAATAGATCACATGTGGGAGTTTGTTAACTCTTTGTCCTAAAACTGCACCAATAGCATAATCAGAGGCATCACACATCAATTCAAAAGGTAGGGACCAATCTGGTGCCATAATGATAGGGGCCGAGGTTAATTCTTGCTTCAAAGTATTGAATGCATCCATACAAGCTGTATCAAAATGAAATGCAACATCTTTAGCTAACAGATTGCATAATGGACGAGTGATCATTGAAAAGTTCTTATGAAACGTCGATAAAAACCCGCATGTCCCAAGAAACTTCTCACCCCCTTCACGGTTGTGGGAGCTGCCAAATTGGTGATGATGTCAATTTTGGCTTTGTCTACCTCCATTCCTTTGCTAGAGATCACATGTCCCAAAACAATGCCTTGTTTCACCATGAATTGGCATTTTTCCCAATTGAGAACCAAATTTGTTTCCTGACATCTTTGAAGCACTAAGGAAAGATGGTTAAGACATTCATCAAAAGAAGAACCAAACACTGAAAAGTCATCCATAAATACCTCGATGAACCTTTCCACCATGTCAGAAAAGATTGCCAACATACATCTTTGGAATGTGGCCGGGGCATTGCAAAGTCCAAAGGGCATTCTCCTATATGCAAATGTGCCAAAGGGGCAAGTAAAGGTAGTTTTCTCTTGATCCTCTGGAGCAATTGCAATTTGATTGTAACCTGAGTAACCATCCAGAAAACAATAATGTGAGTAACCTGCCAATCTCTCAAGCATTTGATCTATAAAAGGCATAGGAAAGTAATCTTTTCTAGTGCTAGAATTCAACTTCCTGTAATCGGTGCAAACTCTCCAACTAGCCGTGGGTCTTGTGGGCACAAGTTCTTGGTTTTCATTTCTCATTACTGAGATTCCCACCTTCTTTGGTACCACTTGAATGGCACTCACCCATTTGCTATCAGAAATAGGATATATGATTCCCACATCTAACAACTTCAATACTTCATCCCTCACAACTTCTTTCATGTGTGGATTGAGCCTTCTTTGTGGCTCACGGGTTGTCTTTGCTCCATCCTCCAAAAGAATCCTATGCATGCACATAGTAGGGCTTATCCCCTTGATATCTGCAATAGACCATCCAATAGCTGACTTAGACTCTTTTAACACCCTCATTAGTTTATCTTCTTCATTTGGATTCAGGTCAGAAGCTATGATAACAGGAAGAGTTTCAAATTCAGCTAGATATGCATATTTAAGATGTGGTGGGAGTGGTTTAAGTTCAAGTTTTGGTGCCTTAACAATGGAAGGTATTAAATGTGACCTAGATGATTCTAAATGCTCAACAAGAGGTGAAACATTTAAAGGATACGGTGCCAATGCTTCCAAGGTAGCTACCACTTCCATGAGTGCAACTTCTTCATCTAACTCATCTTGAGATTGAGTCAAAACAGTTTGTAATGGTTCACTAGATTGTGCCTGCAAGAACTTAGAGAAAACAATTGAATCAAGCACATCAATGGCATAGCACTCAAGAGATGAAGAAGGATGAGAAAGAGACTCAAACACTTTAAATTGCACGGTTTCTCCTAGCACTGTCATAGTGAGGAGTCCATTTTGCACATCAATGATGGTTTTGGCCGTGGCCATGAAAGGTCTTCCAAGCAAAATAGGCAACTCTCTATCATGTATAGGCGCTTCTTCCATATCCAATACTACAAAATCCGCAGGCAAGATGAGTTTATCAATTTGAACTAGAATGTCCTCAACTATACCTCTTGGATACTTCACGGATCTGTCCGCAAGTTGTAATGAAATGGTGGTTGATTTCAATTCCCCCAAACCTAGTTGAAGGTACACGGAGTATGGCATTAAATTGATGCTAGCACCCAAATCAAGCATTGCTTTTTCAACTTTATTTTCTCCTATAGTAATGTTGATAGAGAAACTCCCTGGATCTTTGAGCTTTGGTGGAAGTTTTCTTTGCAACACTGCACTTACATTCTCAGACACCACTACCTTCTCATGTGGTCCATACTTCCTTTTGTAGTTGTTTAACTCTTTGAAGAATTTCCCATAAGCTGGCATGTTCCTAATGACATCAAGCAAAGGTAAGTTAACATTCACTTTACTTAGAATATCAAAAATGTCCTTAAATGACTTATCCTGCTTGCTCTTAGCAAGTCTTCCAGGGAATGGTATTGGTGGAGTGTAAGGCTTCTCGGCCTTGTGAAGATTTGGTGCTTCATTTGAGGAAGAAGCATGGCTTGGTTCCTCATTTGGTTTCTCATTTCCACCTACATTCACATGATCAAATTCATTAGTAACTTCATTTCCAACTCTATTATCAATAACCTTACCACTTCTAAGTGTAGTGATTGCTTTGGCTTGCTCTTGGTTCCTTTGAAGTATCACGGGTTGGCTTGGAAATTTGCCAACCTCTCTTTGGTTCAAGGCATCTGCAATCTGCCCGAGTTGTGTCTCCATTTTGGTTAGGGCAGCAGAATGTTGTTGGAAGGTGCTATTTGTGGCTTGTTGGAATTGCAAGGTGCTTTGAGCTAACAACTTAACCGTATCTTCAAGTGTAGTGGTCGGTTTTGGTTGGAAGTTTTGGAATTGATTTTGATTTTGATTGTTGTTCCTCCATGAAAGATTGGGATGATCTCTCCAACTTGGGTTATATGTGTTTGAATACACATCATTCCTTGGCCTTTGATTGTAAGAATTCATGAGGTTCACTTGTTCTTGGACAAATTCGGGGTAGGCTTCCCTAGATGGACATTGATGAGTAAGGTGGTTTGGTATGTTGCAAATGGCACACACCTCATTCGTTTTTGGTACCATGTTGAGCACAGATTCAAGCTTTCTTTCTAGGTTAGGTTAGCTACCTGCAATGAAAGTTCATGATTAGAGCTTGTTTCATACACTCCAAGTTTCTTACCTCTTACATCTTTGTGTTGAACATTAGATCCCAACATCTCATAGATGTTGTATGACTCTTGAGCATTCTTTTTCTTCAATGCTCCACCTGCGGCATTATCAACGGTTGATTGACAAGTTTGGGTTAGTCCATCATAAAAAATTTGCATTTGTAAGTGAAAAGGTAACCCATGGTGTGGACATTGCAACAAGAGTCCTTTAAAACGTTCCCAACACTCATTGAAGGGTTCTCCATCATCTTGTTTGAAATTGAAGATTTGTCCCCTTAATGTGGCTGTCTTTTGAGTGGAAAAGAACTTCTCCAAGAACTTCTTAGCCACGGCATCCCATGTGGTGAGTGAACCCGGAGCTAGAGTCATCAACCAACTCTTGGCCTTATCTTTCAAAGTGTAAGGAAACACTCTCATCCTCAAATTGGCTTCACTTACTCCCTGCAAAGGTAAACCACTCACAACATTGTAAAACTCTTTAACATGAGCTAAAGGATCTTCATTAGGTATGCCATAAAAAGAAGGAAGCATATGAAAATGTGAAGATTTAAGATCATAGTTTCTAGCTTCCGTGGACAACAAGATGCATGAAGGAGAGTTTGGTATGATTGGTTGAGCAAAGTCCTCCAAGGCTCTAAGTTCATCTTGGTTGGCAGCCATCTCGTCTCTTTCCCAATGAATGTGCTCAGAAGTTGCACTTGTGGACTTAGATGAAGTTCCTTCCTCTTCCTCTCGGACAAGGAATGAACTAGATGGCACAAAGTTGTCCAAAGTGTTGCCTTTCAAACGTTCAATTCTTTGGCCCAACTCAACAAGTCTATGTGACATATACTACCTAAAACCAAACAAAAACAAACAAGCTTAAATAGAAATCAAAACTAAACTCTACTTAGAATGAAAATAACAAAGTTTAAATAGCAAAACAAGCAATTACAAGGGACTGAAATCAGTCCCCGGCAACGGCGCCATTTTTGTTGAGGTTATTCCTTCCTAGTGCTACAAACATGTTGAATATAAGAACACAAGTAAGGGTGTCGAATCCACAGGGACTAATTAGACCTATATAACCACTTGTTTTGCAAGAACCCTAATAGAAAGTAGAACTAAACAATTTAGGCAGTTTTGAGGTTGTAACTTGAAATACACGGAAATGAAATGAATACAAGTAAATGAATCACAAGTAATGTAATGAGGTAGAACCAAGGGAGTTGAGGTTAGGGATTGTAACAATATGGAGTAGGCTAGGGATTCGATTTCACCTCTTCTAATCAATTCCATGTTGTTAATTCAGATTATGCTCATCAGTCTATCTATTTCTTGAGTTTGTTTCACTTAGATATGATCATCCATATGATGTGTGGTTTTGATCAAATATTCCTAGTCATGAACCTAATTGTGATGTGCAACTTTGGTTCCTAAACAAGAATGTATTAAGCATAAGAAACTTTCATAAAACCAAAGGAAACACTTGGCATGATGTTTGCCAAACATTCCCTTCAATCATTCCCATCTCTGCCAAGGTTATGCATGATGTGTGCTCTAAGATTGGCTAAACAACTTATGGTTAATTCAAATGGTGATCAAGCATTAGAATCAACACACAAAGTCACAATTAAATTAGAGAATGAAAACAGAGAATAGAATGATAAACTGAGCATTCCAAATTAACTACATGGCAATCTTTCTAGGCTACATCGAATCCCTATAGAGAGATTAGTTACACTTCATGTTTACAAAGATTTGACATATAAATATAACACATGAGTGTACATAAAATTGAGAAGAAAAACCCCTTGAAGCAAAACTGGAATCGAAAATCACTTGAGAATGGCCTTCGGTGCTAGCTCTCCAAGTGTGCTATAACTCCTCCAAGAATGATGTATAAATGAAGGTGGTACGGTTGTGGTGAAATGGTTGGTGAAATACGGTGAAGAGGATGGACAGAAAATGGAGAGGTTGTGTGTAAGAAGAATAGAATGAATGTGTAAGGAATGTCCCTTCTGGAGTGGGATTGCATGGACTTTTAAAAATGAGGTCTCTTGGGAGAACATGCGGCTGTCTAGCCAAAGAATGAAGCTGCCCATCTGAATGATGATGGAATGAAGTGTTTTCTGAGGTGGTGGATGCACGGCACAAGGTGTAGATGCAAACATATAGCTATTTTAATTGAACATGCATGTGTGTTTGCTGCAAAGCTGAAATGGACAGCCTGGAATTGGTTGAACAAATCTGGAAAAGGGAATGAATGTGCACGGCATGGATTTGCTTTGAGGTGTACAAGTGGCTGAATGGATTAGTTTAATGGAAGCACATGTGCTGCTGCAAAAGAGGGCTGGAAATGTAAGGAGATGCACGGCAAGATTGTGAACATGCATGTGGCTGAAATGTGGCTGAATGGTGTAACTAATGGGGGTGAATGTTCTTGGTGAAAAAGGGGGTGAAAGGGTAACCAAATGCATGGCAAGGTGTGTTAAACCTCCCAATCTGAATCCAATGCATGTGCCATGCATAAAATCACCCAATCCGGCCGAATTGCATCATTTGTCAATTCCTGAAATTCTAGCAACCAACTTGTCCTCAATTCTTCACTTGGACTTCAAGTTAACTCACAAGATGTTCTCCATGCTTGAACTAGCTCTCGGCCACAAAATGTGGTGTTTTTGCTTCATTGCCTTCCAATTGATCCTAAAACAAACTTAACTACACACTAACACCAAATAATGTAAAATGTAACAAGCTTGATCAAAAACATCACAAAGACACAAAATATGAATGCTGTAAATGCATATAAAATGTGAACTAACAGGTGGTGATTGTTTTGCCCCTTGCATAGTTGTTGTTCTGCCCCTTTCATATGAGATAAAGAAACTTTGGTGTATTAACCAAAAAAAAAAAACTTGGTGTATAAATCTGGTATGCATATTGATATTTGAGTCATGGATGTGATTTTTAGTCACCGTTTTCTTCTTATATTTTATTCTCTTTGCTTTTGTTCAATGATTTCCTTTTTTTCATTCAAGAGACTAAATGAGTATGCGAATATCACTTTGTTTTTTTTATTTATACAGCGATTTCCACATTAGGGGATTTGGACTAAATCAAACAATAGGCTAGCCAGAATTAAATATTTATGAATTCGTCATTCATGGGGTCGAGTTAAGACCTCTCACTTACAAATGAATATAAATGCTCATAACTATAAAAAGTAAGAAAATTACCATTTAATATTATAGTCTAGTGATATTCTTGTTTTATTAGAGAGATGGCAAATCTTTGGTTGTACAGTTACAGAAAGATAACTTCTGTGGAGTCATTTTTTAATGGATGGTCCTCTGCTAATTCCTCTAGTGCTCCGGATAGATAGGAATAAATAAATGGTTGAGTCATTTTCATTCAGTCATTTACATTTCATACTTTGTTTTGATCTTTCATTTCATATGTACTTTTCTCATTGAGCTACCATATTTCGCACATGACGTTATCAGTTGCTTTCCACTTAATATTTATAAAATATAAATTACTAGTTAATTGAAGTATTGAGCAGCCTCGCTCACGAGTTTCCCCATCAAAAATATCTCAGGGTATTTTATAATGTTGATCAGGTGACTAAGGAGTTCCATGAGAACATATGAATATGATATATCTTGGATGACATCTGAGTACGTTGATAAGGCTTTTTAGTTAATGACACCTGCGCTGACCCAATTAAAAATGGGGTTGGTGGGAACAATTTGCAAATTCAAGGTTGAAGCCACGTCAAAGATCAAATACAGTGGATCAATTTATGTTAAGTACATGCGGGTTGAAATTGGGCTCCATACTTAACCATCAGGTACTTTATCTTTGTAAATAGAATTGATTATTTATAGTGATTTAACATCGTGAGAAAGCTCCTCAATTCAACAAACAACTTAAATGCTCTACGTGAAGGCTCTCAAACGCTCGATGTGAAGACTCTCATTCTCAGAGATTGGACGAGTTGACGACTGTTTGAAGGTCCGACGTCGGACCTTCATATATTTGATCGATGAGATAACAGACATCACTAGAATCCTTGTGCCATACTTGTTGTGATTGACCTTTAGTGAAAAAAGACAAGAAAAAATTGATAGTGATTAAATGAGCATCCATGCATCAAGTTCGATCATCGAATTCTCAAATGATTTGTGCTAAAGAATGAAGTTGTACATACCGTGCTAAGGAAAGTTCCACACATATGCATGATTCTGCTCGGTGATACAGACTCCATTTCGAAGATTACCACGGATATGAGGACAATCAGCTAGAGCCTTAGTAATATTTATGGGTGCAATTACAAATTAAAAAAAAAATGTAATACTTGAGAATAAGTAATGTCCAGTAGCATAGGTAGCCATTAACAAGAGGAGATGTCAAATAAAAGATTACTAACCCTAGAATGTTGAATGCCAAAATCATTAGAAGTACGCGCACTCTCCATCTTGTGACTTTTTATCCAATGATCAAGATGGGTGACGAGGCAAGGACATAGTGTTCAAGGTTGAGAGGAGGGGGGATTGTTGCGCGGCTTACCGGATCCTTTCGTTTATCGGGATAAAAGTACCCTTCGCTTCTTCCCAACTGGCCACATATCTCTCTAGCCGTAATGCAATTTGGTCTTCAAGATTCATCAGTTTAGAAAGAAACATGTGTCCTTCCTCCAGAGTGTTGAATTTCATTAATGTCCTGGGGAAATTGTATATTCGACGTACAAAAGATCCTCCACACGGCATCCAATTTTGTACACACTTGTGATAAAGGCTCAAGGGTCATCAAAGGAGACTGTTTCTGCTAATGATTTGCTTACCTCATCGAGAGTCGGAATGAGTCCCTCATTTCCATGGTGCCCCTGCTTCGGCTTCCTGAACACATACACAGAGGAAAATGCAGTCACACCCCATAAGGGGTTTGAATTAAAAAACAATTCACCACAAAATGCATTAAGAATGGATTGGGCATTCTTGATTTTTGTTTTTTTTCAAAAGAAATAGGAGGACTAAAGTGAGATGGAAAAGGAAATAGTTTTGTCGTGTTTGAAGTTGTTTTTGCTTTCCTATTTCAGTTGGGAGTTTAGCATTGACGAGGGATTTGAAAGGAAACTAAATCAGACTTGGAGTGGGCTTGACATGTAGGGCCTTGATTCTTATTAATTCTCACGGTGTGCAACGTATAAAAGGAAGAAGAAAAAAAAAAAAAAAAAAAAAAAGCAGTAAAGGGAAGGGGGCTTCTTCTGGTGTGGTACAAAGCGGCAGCAATTTGGTTCTTTTTCTCTAATTTTATTTTATGCAAAATTTCCTTATGAGAATTACTATGAATTCTTTGTTCATGGGGTTCTAAACTCTTAGCTAAGGCTAAGAGGAAGCCCTAATTATGAGTACTTTAGTTATTTGATTGTTTGATTCATGGATTTAGACTGATGATTAACATCATGAGAAGACTCTTCAATTCAACAAACAACTCAAACGTTATGTTTGAAGCTCTTATTTTACGTAAAATTCTTCTCACACCCCTAAGAAAAAAAACTAACAGACTCAACCATCAGGTACTTCATCTCTACAAATAGAAGTGATTATTTATAGTGATTTAACATTGTGAGAAGGCTCTTCAATTCAACAAACAACTCAAACGCTCCATGTGAAGGCTCTCATTCTACGTAAAATTCTTCTCACACCCCTGAGAAAAAAAACTAACTATATTGTTGATATGCAAAATCAGATTGACTTTGGAACAACGTAAAATGTCGAGGACCTTCACAAGGTTGCTTCAGTCATAAATGTATATGTAAAGAGATATAGATAGGGAAATAAACACAAGATGTACGTAGTTCACCCTAAGTAGGACTACGTTCACGAGGGTAGAGGATTTCTCATAATAATGTAGATTTTACATGATACAAGGGTTTAACCATAATCATCATTAGTGAGTCCTTATAACAAATTAAGTAGAATAATGACATTAAGGATTAATTGAAGGAGAATGGTCGTCTTTTATAGTTGGGCAAAGTCGCATGCTTTAGTTTGTGGTTAATGTGGGACTTTGGGAACGATATTATGATGTTGGCACGTGTTGTGTTGTGATTAGCCTCTTTGTTAGAGAAAAACTCTTATGCTTCAGTAGGGGTACCTTAACACTAATCCTTTAGCCGGTCCCTGAAGGTATGAAGTTGACTGGTACCAAAGCATTGTAGCATATAGTGGGAAGCCCCCCAGGAATCCGAGCGAGGGGATTGTTGAAGGAGGTGCCTTACTTGCTGCCAAGTCGTCAAAATAGCAAAGCTTTTTTAATATCACACACTCTTTAGACATGCTTCAGCCCAAAAACACTTTACACTGGTTTAAACTTAAGAGGCAAACATTTTTATTAGCAACCTGATAGAATTTTTAACACCTGCAAAAGTATGGATAAAAACACTTAAAAATATTTGCAAGAGAACAAGGTAGCTGTAGTATAAACAGCTTAAGCAAGGTAATTTTCCACAAGGATTGAATGAAAAATTTGTTTAAAACGAACTCTTACCACAAGGATTGAATGAAAAATTTGTATTTAAAACAAACTCTTAATTAATTATTTAAAACAAAGTTTGGAAAATGTTGATTTTGAAATTTAAAATAATAAAAACGAATTTTAAATAAAAATAATTAAATAATTGATAAAGTAAAATAAACTAAAATAAAACGGTTTTGAAAATCATAGAAAAACGGGAATCCGGACCGGCCCATTTGTAATTGCAATGGACGGACGAGATTGAAGAGATTATCTCTCCATCCAATCTTAACAGTTAGTTTAGGTCAACTCGTCCTCGACCTCGACTCTGTCACTCGAGTCCTCGAACTCGATTCTCTCTCGCCGTCTCGCGTGCGTCGTCCCCTCCCCTCCACGGTTTCAACCAGGCACCCGCACCACCCATCTTCTCGATTGTGGTTGGTATCAATTAATCACTTAATCATCTCCTAATTTTGCATCATTCTTTCTGGTTTGCTGCATAAAACTATTGGTAGAAATGTTGCTACAAGCTCTGCGCCTCTCCGACTCACGGCCTCATCTGCGTCGGTAAACGGTTCATCGCCCCCTCTTAGCTTCGCGAGGCTTCTGCCTCTTCTGGCCTTATCCAGTACCGGTCCTGGTCCAAGGTAAGATCACCTCCTTTCTTATGCACACAACCTGTTTGATGAATTGCCTTAATTGATACTCGATTGAGTGGTAAAATCGTCGGTCTATAGATTTTCTGGTATCTTCTGGTACTGCTTGATTTGGTCATTTCTTTTTCTAATGGTGTTTTTAAATCTCCTGCATAAGCTTGTATTGATATTGTTCTGTAATCGTATCGAAGTATTGATGGAATACCTGCATTTTACATTGACTTATATTCAAATGCCCACCTAATTTCTGTGGTTGAGTCATTTGTTCCTTTTCGAATGAAGAAACTGTTTGTGGCCAGTCATGAGATCAAATCTTGGGTCTTGGTGCTTGACCAATGTATGACTACACTACCTAATCCTGTCAGCGAGTTTTTTTCAGTGTAGATTCATGCATTTGTATTGGGAAAGTCCTAAACTGGAGTTTGGGAGTTGCTTAGTTTCTTTTTTATTTGGAAAGTCCTAAACTGGAGTGTGTGATATTGAAAATGCGTTGCACAATCATCATCATATGCATATATGTTCCTCTCAACTTAATTACGGATTATATAGATATACAAGATCTTAAATATATTCTCATGAAAATTCTCATGAATTCTTAAGAACTAGAATCTACTCAAAAAGTAACTGCCATTCATTAAAATTTTCGAACTCCTTGAAATGTGCGCTTCTCATGCCGCGATTACCCCTCCCACTATCTCCCTTGACATGAACCGAGGATGTCTAACTTTATCAGCATATAGGGCCTGGGCCAACCCCGCATACATGTCTTCAATCAGCGTAGGAAACAGCTTTGTCAACTTCTCCAGTACTCGACTTGGTCCATGTTCTTTCTGTTCATTTAAAAGAAAAGAAAAAGTTAGAAGATGCATGCTGACAAGTAGGTATTAATTTTGTAGGGTGATGAGACTCACCTTTTGTAACCGCTTTGCATGTTCCCAGTAGTGCTTCATACAGTTGTGCACATACAATAACCAACTTTCTGCAGTTGTATAAACGGGAATTGGAATTCTGAGGACTCCTACCTTGGCGGAGTCGGCGTTTGTTCTGTTGATAATTTTTCACAGCCTTGAAAACGACATGGTTGTCCACTTTATTTTGCCAGTCATCATACTCCCGAAGGTTGAATTACTGAACATGTAGAACCTCACCAAACTTATGTTGCTGATTTTCCCGCCTTCATGACGAATATTAACAGAATTTGTGAAACTTTGGAGGAAAGACTTGTACTTTTCTATACGAACAGTCGTCAACTCGTCCAACTACCGACCTTCATATATTTGATCGATGAGATAACAGAGATCATCAGAATCCTTGTGCCATACTTGTTGGGATTGACCTTGTGCCATACTTGTGCCATACTTGTTGGGATCCCCTTGGCTTCTTCCCAACCGGCATCATATCTCTCTGGCCGTAATGCAATTTGGTCTTCAAGATTCATCTGTTTAGAAAGAAACATTTGTCCTTGCTCCAGAGTGTTGAATTTCATTAATGTCCCCTGCTGTGTATGCCCTGGGGAAATTGTATATTCGACGTACAAAAGATCTCCACACGGCGTCCAATTTTGTACACACTTGTGATAAAGCCTGAAGGGTCATCAGAGGAGACTATTTCTGCTAATGATTTGCTTACCTCATCGAGAGTCGGAATGAAACCCTCATTTCCATGGTGCCCCTGCTTCGGTTTCCTGAACACATACACAGAGGAAAATGCAGTCACACCCCATAAGGGGTTTGATTTAAAAAAACATATCCTTAATAATAAAGAAAGTGTTCAAAAAGGAATGATAAAGAAAGTTGTCAAAAAGTTTCGTCCAGTAAAGGCTGAAAGGAGTTCTCGTATGGGACAAGCCAAAGTAGCTGATAGTGGTACAAGAGTTGCAGCAATATCTGCTGGCCGTAATAAGGAGGAGCCAACTGGCGGTAACAGTGATTCCAATGTGACTTTCCTCAATACCACAACTAGCCATAAGACCCCTGAACTGGTCTTGTCACTTATTGACCAACTATCTTCTCTCTATGATATTGTTGATGACACAGGTAATCTTGGTAAGGTTTCAATTGCATCTGTGGATAGAGATGCGGTGGGATTGTTGACTTCGTTGCAACTGATCCACATATGACAAATCCCTGTTTCAGTATATGACAACACCTCCTAAAGAGAGTGTTGTTACGGCTAATGGTGATGTTGTCCCAGTAACAGGGGCCGACTCTATTGCCTTAACTCTCACTTTATCTTTACACCGTAGGTTGTTAATTCTTGCTTTTTTGAACCACTTATTGTCAGTTGGTCAAGTTACTGAGCAATTGGATTGTATTTTATTAATGTTTCCTACATTTTGCCTACTTCAAGATATCTAGACTTGGGCAATCATTCAGCATGGCACTAAGAGAAAGGGGCTATACTATGTTGACGATGTGGCATCCGGTTGAGTACATCAAGTTTGCAGTCTAGATAACCTTGCTATCTTTCATACTTTAATTGCGCCTACAACTCGCGTGCAAAGCGAATAAGCCGGTAGATGTTTATTTAGCCTCAAGTAAAATACGTTTTCTCAATAAACTTCAAACTAAAAGTGAAGGTTATATCAAATTATCTGCATTTGGAAACTACATGCCTTAAGGATGAACCTGATACATCTTATACAAGTGGGCAAGTGTATACTCATCATAAGAGTTTCCAATATAGTTACAACAGTACCGAATGTTGGAGCCTTTATTTTTTTTGTGGTTCTAACCTACTACCTTAACGACTCAAAGTAGCTTATACAAGGTAGAACATTATTGCCATAAAAGATTTCCAGTTTTCCACATGCATGCGTCTGCAGGAGTACTTATTTATGGTTTAATTAATTTTTAATTAGTCTAAATCCTGTGACATGCATGTTTTAAGGGAAGGGGTGGATCTGAAAATGCTCCAGTTGAAATTTTGTCAAAAACAAACTTGTTAGCTGCCTCAGTATAATGAACGCCATCCCAATTCACTCTCACTGACGGGCTTTTGCACGAACCAACAAATATTTGGCTTCCATTGACTGTAACTGTTGTTCCACATCCAGCACTACTGCTATAGTTGTACTTCCCACCAAACCCACAACAAGCAACAAGTGGGAACTCAAACCCTGAAAAAAGTTTCAAGAAAGATTCATACAACGGAAAATAAATAACATTAATGAAATTTCTCTAATCTACGATTAGGTTTTAGATGTGCACTCAATTGTTACGAAAAACTGATAATTAACACATCACTTATCGTATTATATAATACACTAACGCAAATATATATCCAACCAACCAAACCCTAGGGATTATACATCTCATTTTCCACAAGATAATTTTTTATTGATGTGGCTTGTTCACCTCAGTTGTAACATTAGATGGTACTGAACTGTGGTACATTATATTAGGTGGTAAAAATAGCATTACTCGTCTGAGTTTTATAAAGTTACATCTTAGCAGAGGTGACTTTTTTTTTTACCTCCTACTATGTGAAAATGTTTGATTTAATCTAGTCGTACCATTGTTAAGTCGACCATTTTGATAGGACATTTCAAGTCCTAGCCATCCAACGTAACTGACAGAAAAACTTGAATGCACCTATTCCATGCAACATTTCTCTCAGCGTATCGTAACGTATGGTGAATTCAAGTGTTTTCTAACAAGGGAGGCCTCTAAAATGCAGGTATGTTATGTGTATAAATATCATACAGTTTGGGCGGCTTACCATATTTTTTTGGCTCCTTGTAAAGAGAGTATTTGACAGAATATATGTCCACGTAAGTAAAATGCAGCCAAAGGAAGATCCTTCCTAAGTTGAACTGTGGCTTCCTTCAGTTGGTGGTTAAAATACTGAGCCACTTCATTGTAAGACTTTGCGCAGCCAACCTCGTCCTTTTGAGCTGATGGAAAATTAGCTAAAATATAAGGGAGACAGCCAATTGGCCCAGTGTTGTGGATCCAAAACGATCTGGCTCCCAATCTGTATATTTTCTAACATTTTGTGAACACAATTCATCATCTAATGATGAAATCGATGAGGCAATTATTCAGGAACTGTGTTGAGCAACTTCAAAATACTGGCAAACCAACATTCAATCTTTGTTAAAAGTTTGAAAATTTACTCTTGTGATTATACAAAAATTAAATTCACTTTATTAAGTGGTAAAATGTGAATTTGGCTCAAAAAAATTTCCAAAACCAAGTCAATGTCAATTAATATTTTCTAGCATATTTGTCCTCCAAGTAAAACTTCAAATATTCCTCATTGAAATCTCAAAAGAAGGCTAACATCAAGTAGTTATATTAATCAAATTTGAGGAAACGCATTGAACAGCAACACATTCAAGTTTTAGTAGTTTTACCTCTTTGCCTTATGAGTCGTGATCTGGATTTGAATTGCATGAACTGCATGTACTGAATATCAAGGAAGAAAGGGCTAAATCCACCACTTTGTAAGTAACGCTATTGGGCAGGCCTGATTTGTGGAAGCTGCAGTGGCAAAATTTGCACCGGAAGAGAAGTTGGTCCCAAGTGAATCCAAATATGCGCTTAGAAAAGGGTGGCCAACACTTTTTGCTGAACCACAAAAGCTTTATCAGACAACCACCACAGCACAAAAAATAAAAATTATTGAATAGATAAAACTCTAAAAAAGAAAAGAAAAGAATTTTACAACTATATCTGAGGAATAATCGGGATGATTACGTCTGATTTTCACTATGAGAATTTTAGGGGTAGTGTCACTTAGACCATCTCCAACCTTTGCGCTAAAACCTAAAATTTTTAGCTCAAAAAATTTAGGTTTTAACCCAGAAACGGTTTTTCTGCTTCAACCCTTATGGCCTAAATTTTTAGCTCCAGATTATTAAAAAATGAATTTAGGCTAATTTTTTTCTTAAAGTAACTTTTTTAAAAGAAAAAATTATGTAGACTATCATAATTTAATTTTATGAACATTTTAACCAAAAAATATTTAGATTCTGACAAATATTGAAAAATCACAAATCAACACCATGAAACTCGTTAAACACTATGAAAAAAATATGAAACAATAAAAGATTTTTTTTTTAACTAGTTTTGCCGTTAGATTTAAATTTGAACTGTTAAATATTTTTTTTACGGTTGAATTTCATCAAATTAGATTTTAACCGTTGGATTCAATGAATTTATAAATATAAAACTAAATAAAATACACATATATGGTGGGCCAGCCCCACTAATCCTGGGTTAAATCTGGCTTTTGTTTAGTTTTTAGCTTTTAGCCTACACATTTAGCATGGGTTGGGTTGGATTTGGGGGGGGGGGGAATAAAACCTAAAAAAATAGCATTTAGCCCAGAATTAGAGATGGCCTTAAGTCAATAAAGTTGGTCGCACGTTGGGGTTAGCTGCGAGAATTGACAAAACTAGTGATGAACTACAAATTCAATTTGGCTAGTATTTTGTGTCCTTATGGACCACTGTGGCAAAACATCTTGAACCAACACAGGACTGTGCATTTTTTGTAGACCTCAAATGCCTCTTTTAATGGATAAAATGAGCAGGATTAGAAGAAAAAAAATCTCTAAATTCAATTATAAACTTGATGGGAAGAAAAAGAGATATTAGGATTCTAGATAGAAGTAGTCAATACATAGACAGTATTTCGTCAAAGTAAACACAAATGCTTTGAGTGAAATAACCTTAAAAAATAATCATTTATCATTTTAAGAAACGTTCAAAGGTGATCATTTTTTGGAAAAAAAACAATTGAAAGACAAAAAGTGAAAAAAACTTCAAAAGTTTAAAAGGAAACTTTGTAGTGAAGCCTTTAATAAAAATTTTGGTCATGAATATATATGAAATTTTTTTGAGTGACTGATACACCAAGAAATTGTATTATTGATATAATATTTCTTATTACATTTATTAATTAATATTATTTCGTAAATTCATAACATATAAATTATGTTATACACTTATCCTATAACACGTGAGTTAATAATATTATGTTCTAATGTGACCTACATGCTAAAAAAATTTCATCCCATCAAGGTTAAGTTATGGCAAGTGACAAACAATTGAGAAGCGTATAAAAACTTCAATGGATTCCTTTTAACATGGGCCACACCAAGAAAACTATGCTTTTGGATTCAACAGAAAGGCAACCGGCTCCACGGTTTCAGACAATAATATTCTGCTTTTGGATTCGTTTTATACATGTATGCATGGTTGAAGTTCGATTTTCTTCTTCCAAACTTGAGGTAGTCATCAATTTACCCCCTTGAACTTGTGATCATTGGCCAATTTCCCCCCTCAACTTTAATTTTGGCCAATTTCTTCCATCGACTCTCATAATTAACGGAAGAATAGATGAAAAATTAAAAAGAGAAAAGGAAGAAGAAGAGAAAGTTCGAAGAAAAGGAAGAAGATAGGTGTAGGGAAAATGACTTTTTTGTCCTTTAAAGGCAGTCATGCAAATACCTACTTAACGGAAGAATAGATGAAAAATTAAAAAAATTAACAGTAGGGTGCAAATTGACTAATTATGAGAGTAAAAGGGGGAAATTGGCCAATCCTTACAAGTTCAGGAGGTAAATTGATGAATACCTCTCCAAACTTTAATCTTAGAGTGTATAAGAGATTCCAAGTCAAAAACCCTACATTAATTAAAAAAAAAGGTATATAATCTTTCGTTTCTATGAGAAAAGAAATACTAATTTAATAATTTAGAACAAAGTATATAGTGATGTTTCAAGATAAACTGTTTTAAGTTTCAAGATCATCAATGAAACAGTTTGGAAACAATAAGTAATTTCATCCACATAAGAAATAAGTAGAAGCAAGAGAAAACTATGAAATAAGTAAGGTAGTTAAAGAACAAATACACATACCGAGGAAATCGATTGTGAGACGGCCATCTGAGAATCTTCCGGCCGGCATACCAAAAAATGTCTCACCATAAGGAGGGGTTGGTGCAATAAGGGATGAGGCCAATCCGCCAGTATCTGAATTAGAGTCCCCAAAGTTAAAGACGGCTGGAAACTGACAGTCCTCCAAAGCAAGGCAGTAGGGTTCAAAGTGGTGAGATGCAAGTGCGACAAAAGCATGTACGAGCAAAAGAATGAAATAACTTTGATAGTAATTATCGGTGACTCCATGGTGGAGAAAATAATACAACAATGATAATTGCAGATGAGATCGATGCATGAAAATTAAGAGGTCACTACTATTTATATAGCGCAAGCTAGGAATTGAAGGGTGGAATTTTCAAATTGCACGTCTTTTCCAATCCATCTAGATAAAACTAAAAGCTAACCCATGAAAGGACACATGTCCATGTTTTAAGTCGTGGCTCGTGAGTTGTATTGTCCAATTCTACAAGGCCAGCAAGTAAGTTCTACAGAGAGCTATACACTTGGTTGGCTTTTTGTTATGCACGTGAGATTATTAGAGATTAGGATTACCTATGTTTGTTAGCTGATAAGGAATATGTATTATTAGAGATTAGGATAATCTATGTTTGTTAGTTGATATGCAAAATCAAATTGACTTTGGAACAACGTAAAATGTCGAGGACCTTCATAAGGTTGCTTCGGTCAGACAATTACTGATTATATAGATATACAAGATCTTAAATATATTGGTTTTATGGTAGAATTTCAATTTTTTTTTTCAGTTAGACAATTATTGATATTGGGTGGACCCCACCTGTTTTCTGATTCTCTAAATGCTAGTAAACGTTGGAAAGCACATGCTTTGGGAAGAGTGCAATTTCGTTCTTCCCCTCCAACTCCATTTGGTAAACACGTCATAGATAAATGAGTTTGTTAAGTAAAAAAGGAAAATCTAATTTGGAATTTGATTAATCTTAAAATTCTGACGTGTACAAAAGCTAAAGACTTCCACCAAAATTGTCAGGAAACAATGAAAGGGAAAAAAAAAAGGTTGCGTAAACAAGTTTTTTCTGTTTATAATAACAATGTTTTATTTTCTTTTTTCATTCAAATTTATAGGGTTCAATTAACTAAAACGTGTCTTGCTAAACAAATAAAACTCGAAAGACAAAATGCAATTAACTTTTGTTTGTACCACTATTACAAAAGGCCAACTAGCACACGCGTAATATATAATCCTCCAAAAACAGGAGTTCTGGCTACGACCAAGGAAGAAAATATCGGTAATATCGGAAATATCGGTAGTCCGAAAACACGGAAATATTGATGGAAATATCGGGATAATATCGATATCGATAAAAATTACATGGAAACCACGGAAATTGTAAGAAAAACTTGGAAATTTTTATTGAAACTTTGCAGGATGTTTATTTAGTCAATTATCTATTAGTTTATCACAAAAAATTGGAAGGAAATGCATTGCAGGATGGATTTAACTGATTTAAGTTGATTATACAGCGAGCTGGCAAACACTGTGAGTGTAGAAAATATGTAGTAATTAATGAAAAAAAGATTAAACACACCATAATCATTTATATATAATGATTTACTACAATATTTTACACTTTATACATTTGTTTGGGCCCGAATTTACACAATCGGCCCGAGTAATCGAGGCCGTTGAATATATTATTTTATTATCCTGTATGGTCAAAGCAAATTGGTCAAAGAAAGAACACAAAGGGATGTGGACGGATGAGTTCAAAGATCTTGACAGATATGGAAGAATCATAGTCATCAAATATTTTGGCAGGATGCTAAATATTTAAATTAAAAATGGGATTAATGAAGTTGCATGCATATGGACATGCATGGTGGAAGAAGAAAAAGGTTTTATAGTTGCATTAGGAGTTTGACTTTGAAGTGATGGCTTTGGATGGGATAAGGCTAGGCTCTGATGAGATAAGAAAGTTTCTGATGGGATAAATATAAGTCAAAGTGGGAATAAAATAGGGTTAGCATGCAGAGTCTCTATTGTTGTTCAGATTCGCATATTCCATCATGAAGTCTTTGGGTGCAATTGAAATACAAATCCGTCAGGCCAAAGCTAGCAGATATCCAACCTTATAAATACAAGACTCAGTGCACCAAGTTAAGGACCCCTGCAAATCAATACAAAAATTGCCCTGCGCAAACTCTCACAACTTGTGATTTTTCTTTTTCCTTTTTTCGCTGACACATCTTCCGTTGGCATCAACAGCACTGTGGAAGCAACCGGTGATATCTTAAGTCGGCATAGATAGCTCTGTCACCGTAGAGTCAGTCGGTCTCGCAGTATCTTCCGTTGGCATCAACACAGCACTGCGGCGAGAACGATTGATTACCTATCCAAGTCTCGGTTGAGAAGGGTTTCTAAATCCTTATTAGTCGAGGTCATCTCATCAGCCTTCTCGGCGAAGTGAGGTGTGTTACATTATTATTACATTCGGCACATTGAAAGCCGAATTTATGATATCGAACTTCGTAAAATAGTAAAACCTTGTCTTCAGGTTCGAGAGAGCCCAAGAGGCCGAGACGTGTTTCCTTTCTCGGCCGCAATCGCAAGACGCAGAAGTCAGTAGCGCGACCCAACGCAACATCAACAAATTTACTCCTCGGCCGAGCTCGGCCGACGAGTTGGCACGCCCCCGCATTCACCGAAGGACGTAGTTAGCTCATTAATTACTCGGCCTGCGCGCCACGTAGGCTTTGTAGTTTCTAGGGTCAACAACATTGCAGGGTAAGATACATGAGTGATTTAGAATCTTGATGAAACACCATTACTTTTTATCTTGTCAAAAGTTGTAAAAGTTGTAAAAGAGTCAAGAGACAAGGTTATGAAATTAAGGAAAACTAATGAAAAGGGCTTGAAAACTTTAACAATAAGGACCAACAATAAAGGGAAAAATAAATAGTACCAAGATTGACTTTTTAGTGTAAAAATGTGGTGGTTTTTCGTTAAAGTGAACAGTACCATGAGCTTTTTGTTAAAGTTCCCTATGAATTATTTGAATGCTTTTTTTTTTTCTCACACGCCACCACACATACATAGAGTCAGAGACTCTCACACGCCACCACACACGCACACAAAGACATTTATAAAATATATGTTTAATTTAAATAGGTTTAAGAATTATGTGGACCGTCGGATTGGTTGAGATTTAATCTCAACCGTCCAATCCAACTTAAGTTTTTCAGTCCTCTCCTCTCCGTCTCTCATTCTGAATCTCTGATCTGATTCACGGACACGCACACACATTCTCGAACTCTCTCAAGTCTGAACCCTCATCTCTCTCAGTCTCGATTTCCCAATCTCATCTCTCTCAGTCTCGACTCAACAGTCGTCGAGACGCCATCGTCGTCATCCAGAGTCACCGCAGAAAAAAGGGGCGCCGTTGTCGTCAGAAGTAAGGAGGCGCCGTCGTCGAGACTCTTACCTCTCCTTCTGTAGAAGTATGAAGGAGGCACCGTCATCGTCATCATCCAAGAGTTGTCGACGTTGTTGTTATCCAAGAGTCGCCGCAAGAAGATTTGACAACGATTCTGCATCGTATACTGAGTCCAATGGTTTCGATAGTCGCAACTCCTCTCCGGCGAGAAGCTCCAAGGAGCGGAAGGAACGAAGCAGTCGTAGAAAAAGCAGCCGCCGGAATGAACGATGAGATTTCTGGGTTGATTTCAAAATATAAGGTTTTATTTCGATTTTTTTTTCTGGGTTGATTTCTAGGGTTTGTCAAGATTGGGGTTGAATCTGTTTTGATTGTTTCTTGATCTGCAAAATTGGAACAAGATTGGGGTTGGATTTCTGGGTTGATTTCTAAAATGTCGCAATATTATCGGTAATATCGCGATATTATCGATAATATCGCGATATTTTGACGAAAACCTATTGGATGTGTGTGGAAATATCGAACTCCGAAAAAAACGATAATATCGGCGAAATATCGCCGATATTATCGATTTTTTATACCCTGGCTACGACAAAAGAAAGACGTGCTGCACAGACACACACCCAAAAACAGAGCTCAAAAAAAGAACCAACTGCCTCCTATCAAACTTCTCTTGAAAATTCTCATGAATTCTTAAGAACTAGAATCTACTCAAAAAGTAACTGCCATTCATTAAATTTTTTCGAACTCCTTGAAATGTCTTTGCTTCTCATGCCGCGATTACCCCCTTTCACTATCTCCCTTGACATGAACCGAGGATGTCTAACTTTATCAGCATATAGAGCCTGGGCCAACCCCGCATACATGTCTTCAATCAGCGTAGGAAACAGCTTTGTCAACTTCTCCAGTACTCGACTTGTTCCATGTTCTTTCTGTTTATTTAAAAGAAAAGAAAAGGTTAGAAGATGCATGCTGACAAGTAGGTATTAATTTTGTAGGGTGATGAGACTCACCTTTTGTAACCGCTTTGCATGTTCCCAGTAGTGCTTCATACAGTTGTGCACATACAATAACCAACTTTCTGCAGTTGTATAAACGGGAATTGGAATTCTGAGGACTTCTACCTTGGCGGAGTCGGCGTTTGTTCTGTTGATAATTTTCACAGCCTTGAAAACGACATGGTTGTCCACTTTATTTTGCCAGTCATCATACTTCCAATTACCAAATTGAGCTGTGAACGCCCTAACTATATCAAAGGTCTCATCTTTATGGAGTCTGTAAACGTTTGCAATTAGCTGCACCTTTTCCTTGCTGCTGCTCCAGACGGTTGAATTACTGAACATGTAGAACCTCACTAAACTTATGTTGCTGATTTTCCCGCCTTCATGACGAATATTAACAGAATTTGTGATTCTTTGGAGGAAAGACTTGTACTTTTCTATACGAACAGTCGTCGACTCGTCCAACTTCCGACCTTCATATATTTGGTCGATGAGATAACAGAGATCATCAGAATCCTTGTGCCATACTTGTTGTGATTGACCTTTAGTGAAATGGGTGTGCTATCCACACACCCCTTTTTACTTCTCACACACCCTTTGTTAATTTCTGTCAATTAATCTTCTTTAATTCATCCGATCCGACGGCCGAAAGCCAAAAAGGTGTGAGAGAAGTAAAAAGGGATGTGTGGATATCACACCCCTTAGTGAAATAAGACAAGAAAAAAAATTGATAGTGATTAAATGAGCATCCTTGCATCAAGTTCGATCATCCAGTTCGAAGATTACCATGGATATGAGGACAATCAGCTAGAGCCTTAGTAATATTTATGGGTGCAATTACAAATAAAAAAAAATTAATACTTGAGAATAAGTAATGTCCAGTAGCATAGCTAGCCATTAACAAGAGGAGATGTCAAATAAAATATTACTAACCCCAAAATGTTGAATGCAAAATCATTATAAGTACGCGCACTCTCCATCTTGTGAATTTTTATCCAATGATCAAGATGGGTGACGAGGCAAGGAAATAGGACATAGTGTTCGAGATTGAGAGGAAAGGGTGATTGTTGCACTGCTTCCTGAACCCTTTCATTAATCTGGATAAAAGTACCCTTAAGCCCCTTGGCTTCTTCCCAACCGGCCACATATCTCTCTGGCCGTAATGCAATTTTGGTCTTCAAGATTCATCTGTTTAGAAAAGAAACATTTGTCCTTGCTCCAGAGTGTTGAATTTCATTAATGTCCCCTGCTGTGTATGCCCTGGGGAAATTGTATATTCGACGTACAAAAGATCTCCACACGGCGTCCAATTTTGTACACACTTGTGATAAAGCCTGAAGGGTCATCAGAGGAGACTATTTCTGCTAATGATTTGCTTACCTCATCGAGAGTCGGAATGAAACCCTCATTTCCATGGTGCCCCTGCTTCGGTTTCCTGAACACATACACACAGGAAAATGCAGTCACACCCCATAAGGGGTTTGATTTAAAAAAACATATCCTTAATAATAAATAAAGTGTTCAAAAAGGAATGATAAAGAAAGTTGTCAAAAAAGTTTCGTCCAGTAAAGGCTGAAAGGAGTTCTCGTATGGGACAAGCCAAAGTAGCTGATAGTGGTACAAGAGTTGCAGCAATATCTGCTGGCCGTAATAAGGAGGAACCAACTGGCGGTAACAGTGATTCCAATGTGACTTTCGTCAATACCACAACTAGCCATAAGACCCCTGAACTGGTCTTGTCACTTATTGACCAACTATCTTCTCTCTGTGATATTGTTGATGACACAGGTAATCTTGGTAAGGTTTCAATTGCATCTGTGGATAGAGATGCGGTGGGATTGTTGACTTCGTTGCAACTGATCCACATATGACAAATCCCTGTTTCAGTATATGACAACACCTCCTAAAGAGAGTGTTGTTACGGCTAATGGTGATGTTGTCCCAGTAACAGGGGCCGACTCTATTGCCTTAACTCTCACTTTATCTTTACACCGTAGGTTGTTAATTCTTGCTTTTTTGAACCACTTATTGTCAGTTGGTCAAGTTACTGAGCAATTGGATTGTATTTAATTAATGTTTCCTACATTTTGCCTACTTCAAGATATCTAGACTTGGGCAATCATTCAGCATGGCACTAAGAGAAAGGGGCTATACTATGTTGACGATGTGGCATCTGGTTGAGTACATCAAGTTTGCAGTAGTAACAACGAGCACGTTAAGAAGATGTTGGTTGTGGCATTGTTGAATTGGGCATGCATCTTTTGAATATTTGCATAAGTTGCATCCGTCTTTATTTAATGGTGTTCAAGAGAAAAAGACTCAAAGTGAGAAATGTGCCTCGAAAGGAGGAGTGCGGTGCTCCGTCAACGAGCGCGTCCTGTAGTTAAATCGTTGTCCGAGATCTGACCAGCTAGTCCCTCCTTCTCGAAGCTCTGGTTGCGAATCCGGGGACTTGGCTCGGCTGTCGTGATTTATTGGGGAACGGCGAGCAAAGTTGTTCCACTGGCGGCTCGAGGGCGGCCTGCCCAGGTGCGGAGATCTGGATCTGGTGGAGATCTGAGAGGAGATAAGGTACAGTGGCTGGCGCTTGTGGTGGTGGCCTCTGGGGGGTGAGTGAGGTGCGGTTCTTCTAACTAGCCATGGCTGGGGGAAGTCCGAATGAGGACCTAGAGGAGTTGGGGACACGATTTGGGATCAACCTCATCCTGTCTGAGAAAGAACAGGGAGGCGTGTGTATTGAGAGAAAGGATGTCGAAGGTGCTCTATTAGGGTTTCAGTATACCCTGATTGCAGAAGTCCTCACTACTAAGGCGGTGAAAGGAGATGTGTTCGTTGATTGCTTCATGTCTCTCTGGCGTGGACGTGAGGGGGTCTCGATTAGGGAGATTAGAGATCGGAGATTTCTTGCTCGGTTTGCTGGGAAAAGGGATTTGCAACGAGTGGTTGAGGCGGACATGCCTTGGATGTTCAAAAATGACCTTGTATTGGTGGCGGATTGAACGGAGAAGGGGCTGAACCGATGGACCCCTCTCTCCCTGGGTGTGCTTTGGGTCCAGCTGCATAACGTCCCGGTGCTCAGTATGACCCAAGCGGTAGCTGAAACAATAGGTAGTTTGATGGGTGAGGTTCGATCGGTGGACAAAACTGGGAGCCGTGACTGCATTGGAAGATTCCTCCGGGTGAAAATTGGCTTCAATGTTCGCGAACCCCTAATGCAAGGGACCTTTGTGACCTTTCCCGATGAAGGCAAGATCTGGATTGATTTCAAGTATGAATCACTTCCTAACTACTGTCTCATTTGTGGAAAGCTGGGACACCCTACTAGGATTTGCAAGGAAGTTTTGGATGAAAGAACAGACCAAAGAGATTGCACCAAGACGAGGAATGAGGTACTTGCGTTCCGTGGGTTAGATGCGGTGTCGGACCTGAGAGGTAATCCTCTGGGAGCTGGAACCAGGAGCAGGGCATCCTCTGGGTCAAATGGTGGACGGAGTGGATCGGAGCGGTGGAACGAAGAACTGGGTGGTGGTAGACGCTCCGGGCGGTCTTCTACGGCGTCAGGAATGGGATGTCAACCCCCGATAACGGCTAGCAGATCTCAGAGCAGTAGTGAGTGCACCGCGCCGTTGGAGGAGGAGGTTATTGACACTGGAACATCACCAAGCAAGCCTAGGTGGTCGTCTAACAAAATGGGATACAGAGACAACGTGCTTGCGGGGAAAATCCGACGCCAAAGGCTAGCTGAAGAAGAGGCAAGGTCAGCGAGAGAACTGGCTTTCGATGCAGGCTTAATTGGGCCGGGAGGTGCGGTGGCAGCGGGAGCGGAACACGTGGTACTTAATGACCATTACGAGCAGGAGGGACGGGTGGATTCGGTAAGTATAACTCTGAATGAAGGCTCTTTTTTCGATCTTAACCTTGTGCCTGGAGTCGGTGAGGATGGGGACAATGTGAATGCTAGACGGGGGGAAGCTAGTGATGGTCGGGGGTGCGGGAGTGGATGTGATCTGGCTAAAGATGATGATCCTTTTGAGCTGAAAGCTATCATTGAAGCCGTGATGAACGAGAATAAAGGCAAAAAGAGAAGTGCCCGAGAAGTGGAGTATGATGAGGTTAACCCCTGTGTGGAACCTAAAAGATCTAAGCTGAGTAGGAAGACATATGTTGAGGCGGAGGAGACCAGCCGTGAGGGGTCTCCCAGGTCCAAATGAGGCTACTTACTTGGAACTGTCAGGGTATCGGGGGTGACCTGACAGTTGACAATCTACTGGAGCAGAATCGGCTCCACACCTCTGACATTGTGGTTTTGCTGGAAACCAAAAATAAAAGCAGTCGGTATGGGTATCTCAAGAAACGTTTGGATTTGGAGTACATGCACGCAGTGGAACCTAGGGGCATTGGGGGAGGCCTCTGTGTCTTCTGGCGGGATGCTTCCCAGGTTACTCTGGTGAAGTCTGAGGACTTTGTTATTGAAGTTAAAATTTGGGATGAGCACAAGAAGTGTCACTGGTATTTGTTTGCAATCTATGCTAGTACTGATGAGAAAAAACTGCGGGATCAATGGGGGTATTTGAGCAGGCGGCTTGGAAACAATAGGGGAAAAACTCTTCTCATCGGGGACTTTAATGACATTCTGTGTAATGATGAGAAAGAGGGGGTAACTACAGACCGACGGCTAATATGCGAGACTTTCGAGAGTTTGTGGCTCAAAATGAGCTCATGGACTTGGGTTTTGTTGGCTATCCGTTTACGTGGCGGAACAACCAGGAGGCGAAGCCTATTCAGCAGCGCCTGGACAGGGGATTGGCCACTATGGGATGGCAGGACCTTTACCCTGAGAACACAATTAGGCATGTGGTACTGGAAGGGTCTGACCATGCTCTGTTATTTTTGTCCACGGAGAAAGTGAAAGCATGGAAGGGGAGAAAATTCTCTTATGATGCACGATGGAGCAAAATGGAGGAGTGTCAGTAATTGGTGGTAGAGGAATGGAGAGATAAACATGGGGGGTCACATGATTTTCGCTTTTGTGAAAAATTGAAAGCCCTAAGGCACAAGCTTAAGGATTGGTATCAGGGGAGAGGAATGAACTCGAAGAAAGTCATCGGGCAGCTGAAAGAAGAGATTCGAGCGGCTTATATGTCTACTGAATTTGCCTCGGAGGTGGTTAAGATGAAGGAGAGAGAGCTCAGGGCTGCCCATCGAAACGAAGAATCTTACTGGAGGGTGAAGTCGCATGCCCAATGGTTAAAGGAAGGTGATAAAAATTCTAAGTTCTTCCATGCTCAAACTCTCAAAAGAAGGAGGTTCAACCAAATCAAGGGGTTGGAGGATTTGAATGGAGTGTGGCAGGAGGATGAAGCAGCGATATCTTCAATTGCTACCTCTTATTTTGCAGTGTTATTTAAGTCGAGCAGCCCTGGGCAAATCGATGAGATTGGGGAATGCCTGGCACCACGTGTGTCTGCTGAGGACAACCTTGCCTTGACGGCAGCGGTGACGGAGGAGGAAATCAAAACGGCTGTCTTCCAAATCCCTCCAATTAGGGCCCCTGGTCTGGACGGGTACTCTGGATGCTTTTACCAGGATCATTGGGATACTGTGGGCAAGGATGTGATAAAGATAGTCAAAGCCTTCTGGCATTCGGGTACTATCCTGAGGAAACTTAATCATACTAACCTTGTGCTTATCCCTAAGGTCAAGTGCCCGAAGAACATGACGCAATACCGGCCTATTGCACTATGCAATGTAATCTACAAAGTCATTGCCAAGGTTCTCACTAACCGGCTAAAGATGGTGATGCCAAAGGTGATTTGTGACAACCAATCTGCCTTTGTGGCGGGGAAACAAATTCAGGACAACATTTTGGTGGTGCACGAGCTACTACACACACTGCTTCATAAAAAAAAAGGTGACCAGACTGGCATGGCTATTAAGCTCGACATGGCTAAGGCGTACGACCGCGTGGAGTGGGTGTTCCTCTTATCCATGATGGTGAAATTAGGGTTCGCTCCCCTATTTTGCAACTGGATCAAGGAGTGCATTTCCACGGCCTCTTTCAGCATCCTAGTAAACGGGAACCCGACTGGGCTTGTCCTGCCGGAGCATGGGCTGCGACAAGGAGACCCCCTATCTCTCTATCTCTTCTTGCTCTGTATAGAAGGTCTTTCCATGCTCATCAGGAGAGGGATGGAGCGGGGTGCCCTCCACGGGTTCAGTGTGTCAGCAAACGGGACCCCGATCTCGCATCTGTTTTTTGCGGATGACTCGGTGTTATTCGGTCATGCAAGTGTGGAGGAGGCGAGTGGCATCGTAGAGGTGCTGCGAACATATGCCCGAGGCTCTGGCCAAGCTATTAATCTGGCCAAAAGCTCAATTTTCTTCGGCTCGAAGACCTCGAACAGGGTGAGGAGAAAGATTGGCCGGACTATGGGAATCCAATGCAAGTCTGGTTTTGGTAGGTATCTTGGGCTGCAATCTGATTTTGGCAACTCTAAAAGAATGGTTTTTGAAGAGGTGCGGGACAGGCTTGAATCCCGGTTGGCGGGTTGGGCTGAGCAATTTCTATCCCAAGCAGGAAAGGAAGTCCTTGTCAAGGCAGTAGCCATGGCGATGCCATGCTATGCCATGAGCTGTTTTAAACTTCCCATTAGGGTATGTAGAGACCTGGAGAAAGCTATCCGGAATTTCTGGTGGAGAGGGAACGAGCAGAGAAATGGGGTCCACTGGATCTCATGGGAGCGGTTAATGAAGCAAAAACGAGTCGGCGGGCTAGGCTTTAGGGATATCCAGTGTTTTAACCTGGCGTTCCTTGCCAAGATTAGGTGGCGGCTGATCCAGAATCCGGGGTCTTTGCTTGCTACTGTTCTGAAAGAAAAATATTATCCTAGGAAGAGCTTTACTGAGGCGGGAAAGGGTAGGAACACGTCGTGGGGTTGGAAGGGGATTTTTTATGCCCGGAAGGTGCTCCTACATGGCCTGCGGTGGCGGGTCGGGGACGGGGCATGCATTAACATTAGGGAGGACCCGTGGTTTCCTAGGCCCTCTACGTTTAAAGTTAGGCCTTTAGTAAGCTTGCATGCTACTATGGTAAGTGAGTTAATTGATTCGGGGTCCTGCTCTTGGAAACGTGATCTGATCCTGGCAAGCTTTCACCAGGACGATGTGAGACTAATCTTAAGCATCCCCTTAAGCAAGACTGGGTGCCGGGACCGGATGGTGTGGCACCACAACGCGAATGGGGTTTATTCGGTGCGATCGGGGTACGGAGTGGCTATGAACCTCATGGAAAACGGTGCTTTGGGGAAGAAAGGTTGTGGGTCTGCAAGCGACAAGCTAAAGAACTGCACTGCTTAGAACCTGATCTGGAAGTTGAAGGTACCTAACAAAATTAAAATTTTTATCTGGCGATGTTGTAACAATGCTCTGGCTGTTCGACGTAACCTGAAGCGGAGACATATGAGAGTGGACAACGTCTGTGGTGTTTGTGGTGCTATGGATGAGACGGAAGCTCATCTATTCTTCCGATGCCACCTTAGCCACCTGTTATGGTTCTCCTCTTCGCTTCAGTTGAATTCCTTTGCGCTGGCAGGGGCAGACTTCCTATCTAGCTGGGAGTTGTTCTGGACTCGGGTTAAGGGGAGGGACAACGCGGAGGAGATCATGCAGGAGTTTACCTTTGGGTTATGGAGACTGTGGAAAAACAGGAACGAGGTGGTTTTTAATGGGGTGCACCGGCAGCCCTTGGAGCTTTTGGAGGCTTGGAGCAGGAACATCTCTGAATTCAGAGATGCTACGCTCAGCGAGCCTGCTGGAAAGCAGCCTGGGTGTCGATCGAAGATTGCTTCCTTGGACCGTGGGGCTTGTAGATGGGAGAAGCCGGCGTTCGGGATCCTTAAGGTCAACACTGACGCCTCGTGGTGCAAGAACACCCTCCGCACGGGGGTAGGCTGGGTCTGCCGCAACTTTGCTGGATTACTTCACGGTGCTGGGGGCTCTGGCGTTGCGCTGTGCCACTCCGCGGCTGCTGGGGAAGCTGCTGCAATCAGGACCGCCCTCTTGGCCTGTATTAACTATGGGTATGATAATGTTGTTATTGAATCTGATGCCAAAGTGATTATTCAGATGATTAGGCATGAAATGGATCATGATTTCAGTCTTGAATGTATTCTTGGTGATATTGAGGTTCTAGCGCGTAGGTTGAGGTCAGTTTCGTTCTCGTACGTGCCTAGGGAGGGCAATGTTGCTGCTCACTCGGTTGCTAAGTTTGTTTTCAAGGAGGGTCGTGAATATGGGTGGGACTGTATTGGGCCTGAATTTTTGTTTAATATCCTAGCCCAGGATGTAAACCTTTCTATTCGTATCTAATATATTTCTATCTTCGGGGAAAAAAAAAAAATGGTGTTCAAGACTCTGAGTTAAAATTTAATATTTGCACTTTAGCTAAAAGATATTGTGTTTCGTACCCTTTAAGTTTTAACAAAAGAGAATTTCCTTTTGGATTTGGTTCATTCAGGTGTTTATGGTCCCTTCCCGATTACTACATAACATGGAATACGTTGGTTTGTTACACTTGTTAGACAATTGACTTGGGTCAATGTGATGTAAAATAAGAGTACATCAAGTTTGATTTGACCTCATGTTGAGCCAAAACCTGATCACCTGACACAAGTGTTGAAGATGTTTTTTTTTGGTCGAACAAGTGTTGAAGATGTTGGAGACAGATTGTTTTAAGGCATGTAAATAACTTTGCTATCTTTCATACTTTAATTGCGCCTAAAACTCGTGTGCAAAGCGAATAAGCCGGTAGATGTTTCTTTAGTCTCAAGTAAAATACGTTTTCTCAATAAACCTCAAACTAAAAGTGAAGGTTATAGCAAATTATCTGCATTTGGAAACTACATGCCTTAAGGATGAACCTGATACATCTTATACAAATGGGCTAGTGTATAATCATCATAAGAGTTTCCAATATAGTTACAACAGTACTGAATGTTGGAGCCTTTATTTTTTTTTGTGGTTCTAACCTACTACCTTAACGACTTAAAGTAGCTTATACAAGGTAGAACATTATTGCCATAAAAGATTTCCAGTTTTCCACATGCATGCGTCTGCAGGAGTACTTATTTATGGTTTAATTAATTTTTAATTAGTCTAAATCCTGTGACATGCATGTTTTAAGGGAAGGGGTGGATCTGAAAATGCTCCAGTTGAAATTTTGTCAAAAACAAACTTGTTAGCTGCCTCAGTATAATGAATGCCATCCCAATTCACTCTCACTGACGGGCTTTTGCACGAACCAACAAATATTTGGCTTCCATTGACTGTAACTGTTGTTCCACATCCAGCACTACTGCTATAGTTGTGCTTCCCACCAAACCCACAACAAGCAACAAGTGGGAACTCAAACCCTGAAAAAAGTTTCAAGAAAGATTCATACAACGGAAAATAAATAACATTAATGAAATTTCTCTAATCTACGATTAGGTTTTAGGTGTGCTCTCAATTGTTATGAAAAACTGATAGTTAACACATCACTTATCATATTATATAATACACTAACGCAAATATAAGTCCAACCAACCAAACCCTAGGGATTATACACCTCATTTTCCACAAGATAATTTTGTATTGATGTGGCTTGTTCCCCTCAGTTGTAACATTAGATGGTACTGAACTGTGGTACATTATATTAGGTGGTAAAAATAGCATTACTCGTCTAAGTTTTATAAAGTTACATCGTAGCAGAGGTGACTTTTTTTTTACCTCCTACTATGTGAAAATGTTTGATTTAATCTAGTCGTACCATTGTTAAGTCGACCATTTTGATAGGACATTTCAAGTCCTAGCCATCCAACGTAACTGACAGAAAAACTTGAATGCACCTATTCCATGCAACATTTCTCTCTGCGTATCGTAACGTATGGTGAATTCAAGTTAACAAGGGAGGCCTCTAAAATGCAGGTATGTTATGTGTATAAATATCATACAGTTTGGGCGGCTTACCATATTTTTTTGGTTCCTTGTAAAGAGAGTATTTGACAGAATATATGTCCACGTAAGTAAATGCAGCCAAAGGAAGATCCTTCCTAAGTTGAACTGTGGCTTCCTTCAGTTGGTGGTTAAAATACTGAGCCACTTCATTGTAAGACTTTGCGCAGCCAACCTCGTCCTTTTGAGCTGATGGAAAATTAGCTAAAATGTAAGGGAGACAGCCAATTGGCCCAGTGTTGTGGATCCAAAACAATCTGGCTCCCAAGTCATATATTTTCTACATTTTGTGACATCACAACATTATCTTGATGATCATCGATGGGTAAACATATTAAGGCAACAATAAAAAACCCACCAATTAGGTCATTATTTTCAAAGGTTACCTGAATATTTGTTGAGAACTTGATGATTATATCAGGAACAGATGCATTCACCTCCTTTATAGTCTTGTTTGCAAAGAACCCTTCCCCAAGGTCGTTCTGACCAATGTCAAATGTGTATAAAGCTTTGGGGAAGTACTCATCCTTGGGCAGTAAACTTGCATATATTCCTCCTGGAAATCAAGATGAAGGGCATGGTTACTTAACATAATCCAAGAGGAAAGGAATCAGAAAACATAGAAATAGGGGAAGTAAGGACAGAGGAATAGGATCACAACTAGCCCCTCTAGTTGCTCTCTACTTCTAGATGTTTAGGTATTTGATTATGGGTTTCAAAAAGAAAGACACAGTTATCTAATTATATTTGTGCTACTGAACACATGAGAGAATTAAAAAGTGAAATGATTCTCATACTCATATTTTAATAAACGTAAAAATTATTTTAATTCTTATTCTCTATATGTAAACATGCCCAAAGCTCAAAAAACAAAATTTCGTTCCAAAACCCTAGTCATTATCTGTAATTGTGTTTGTACGACATATACTAACCACCAAAAAAGGGGGAATCCTACTTATATGGGTTCCACTCATGTAAATGTTGCTTTTATCAAAGAAGTGGTTATTAACTTGATCAGTAGATATTAATCCAAATTGGAACACGCATTGATACAGCAACACATTCAAGTTTTAGTAGTTTACCTCTTTGCCTTATGAGTCGTGATCTGGATTTGAATTGCATGAACTGCATGTACTGAATATCAAGGAAGAAAGGGCTAAATCCACCACTTGGTATAACGCTATTGGGCAGCCTGATTGTGGAAGCTGCAGTGGCAAAATTTGCACCGGACGAGAAGTTGGTCCCAAGTGAATCCAAATATGCGCTTAGAAAAGGGTGGCCAACACTTTTTGCTGAACCACAAAAGCTTTATCAGACAACCACCACAGCACAAAAAATAAAAATTATTGAATAGATAAAACTCTAAAAAAGAAAAGAAAAGAATTTTACAACTATATATGAGGAATAATCGGGATGATTACGTCTGATTTTTCACTGTGAGAATTTTAGGGGTAGTGTCACTTAGACCATCTCCAACCCTTGCGCTAAAACTTAAAATTTTTAGCTCAAAAAATTTTGGTTTTAGCCCAGAAACAGTTTTCCTGCTTCAACCCTTCTGATCTAAATTTTTAGCTCCAGATTATTAAAGAATGAATTTAGGCTAATTTTTTTCTTAAAGTAACTTTTTTAAAAGAAAAGATTATGTAGACTATCATAATTTAATTTTATGAACATTTTAACCTAAAAATATTTAGATTCTGACAAATATTGAAAAATCACAAATCAACACCATAAAACTCGTTAAACACTATGAAAAAAATATGAAACACATAAAAGATTTTTTTAATTACTTTAGCCGTTAGATTTAAATTTGAACCTTTAAATATTTTTTTTACTGTTGAATTTCATCAAATTAGATTTTAACCGTTGGATTCAATGAATTTATAAATATAAAACTAAATAAAATAAACATATATGGTGGGCCAGCCCCACTATTCCTGGGTTAAATCTGGCTTTTGTTTAGTTTTTAGGTTTTAGCCTACACATTTAGCATAGGTTGGGTTGGATTTTGGGGAGGAGGGAATAAAACCTAAAAAATAGTATTTAGCCCAGAGTTGAGATGGTCTTAAGTCAATAAAGTTGGTTGGTCCCACGTTGGGGTTAGCTGCGAGAATTGACAAAACTAGTGATGAACTACAAATTCAATTTGGCTAGTATTTTGTGTCCTTATGGACCACTATGGCAAAACATCTTGAACCGACACAGGACCGTGCATTTTTTGTAGACCTCAAAGGCCTCTTGTAATGGATAAAATGAGCAGGATTAGAAAAAAAAAAATCTCTAAATTCAAATTATCAACTTGATGGGAAGAAAAAGAGATATTAGGATTCTAGATAGAAGTGGTCAATACATAGACAGTATTTCGTCAAAGTAAACACAAATGCTTTGAGTGAAATAACCTTAAAAAATAATCATTTATCATTTTAAGAAACGTTCAAAGGTGATCATTTTTTTTGGAAAAAAAAACAATTGAAAGACAAAAAGTGAAAAAAACTTCAAAAGTTTAAAAGGAAACTTTGTAGTGAAGCCTTTAATAAAAATTTTGGTCATGAATATATATGAAATTTTTTTGAGTGACTGATACACCAAGAAATTGTATTATTGATATAATATTTCTTAGTACATTTATTAATTAATATTATTTCGTAAATTCATAACATATAAATTATGTTATACACTTATCTTATAACACGTGAGTTAATAATATTATGTTCTAATGTGACCTACATGCTAAAAAAATTTCATCCCATCAAGGTTAAGTTATGGCAAGTGACAAACAATTGAGAAGCGTATAAACTTCAATGGATTCCTTTTAACATGGGCCACACCAAGAAAACTATGCTTTTGGATTCAACAGAAAGGCAACCGGCTCCACGGTTTCAGACAATAATATTTTGCTTTTGGATTCGTTTTATACATGTACGCATGGTTGAAGTTCGATTTTCTTCTTCCAAACTTGAGGTAGTTATCAATTTACCCCTTGAACTTGTGATCATTGGCCAATTTCCCCCTTAACTTTAATTTTGGCCAATTTCTTCCATCGACTCTCATAATTAACGGAAGAATAGATGAAAAATTAAAAAGAGAAAAGGAAGAAGAAAAGAAAGTTCGAAGAAAAGGAAGAAGATAGAAGGTGTAGGGAAAATGACTTTTTTGTCCTTTAAAGGCAGTCATGCAAATACCTACTTATGGAAGAATAGATGGAAAATTAAAAAAATTAATAGTAGGGTGCAAATTGACTAATTATGAGATTTGAGGGGGGAAATTGGCCAATCCCTACAAGTTCAGGGAGTAAATTGATGAATATTCTCCAAACTTTAATCTTAGAGTGTATAAGAGATTCCAAGTCAAAAACCCTACATTAATTAAAAAAAAGTATATAATCCTTCGTTTCTATGAGAAAAGAAATACTAATTTAATAATTTAGAACAAAGTATATATGTTTCAAGATAAACTGTTTTAAGTTTCAAGATCATCAATGAAACAGTTTGGAACAAGAAGTAATTTCATCCACATAAGAAATAAGTAGAAGCAAGAGAAAACTATGAAATAAGTAAGGTAGTTAAAGAACAAATACACATACCGAGGAAATCGATTGTGAGACGGCCATCTGCGAATCTTCCGGCCGGCATACCAAAAAATGTCTCACCATAAGGAGGGGTTGGTGCAATAAGGGATGAGGCCAATCCGCCAGTATCTGAATTAGAGTCCCCAAAGTTAAAGACGGTTGGAAACTGACAGTCCTCCAAAGCAAAGGCAGTAGGGTTCAAAGTGGTGAGATGCAAGTGCGACAAAAGCATGTACAAGCAAAAGAATGAAATGATAACTTTGATAGTAATTATCGGTGACTCCATGGTGGAGAAAATAATACAACAATGATAATTGCAGATGAGATCGATGTATGAAAATTAAGAGGTCACTACTACTGTTTATATAGCGCAAGCTAGGAATTGAAGGTGGAAATTTCAAATTGCACGTCTTTTTCAATCCATCTAGTTTTTCAATCCATCTAGATAAAACTAAAAGATGACCCATGTCCATGTTTAAGTTGTGACTCGTGAGTTGTATTGTCCAGTTCTACAAGGCCAACAAGTAAGTTCCACAGAGAGCTATACACTTGGTTGGCTTTTGTTATGCATGTGAGATTATTAGAGATTAGGATTACCTATGTATGTTAGCTGATAAGGAATATGTATTATTAGAGTTTCTAACTTAAACGGTCATGATTGTATTACAACGCTTGTATACAGTGGCGGATCCAGGAAATAATGTTTGGGGGGTCAATAAGGATAGCGCGCGCAGCGCGAAATTTTTTTTTAACAGAAACGACATGCATATCGTCATTTCATCGGGTCTTGGTAGGATAGCGTGACCAGCTACTCCAAAATCCTTGTTCAAAGGTCTTGAACGTTTAAACATGGAGGAAGAGATTGCTTCAACTTGTCGGCCTTCTCGGAATCAAACACACAAATATGAAGCACAAATGTATCTGAGCATGCACGTGAGACCTTGAGAACTAGGAAATTTTCATGTTTTTCAATTTAGATGTAAGAGTTAATATCTTACTGTGCCAAATACAGCAACTGCTGATTTCCTCATCTGCATCTACCTAACCATTATGCTTGGATCTCTCATAGAAGAAACAGCTTGTTCACTAATATTTTGCAATTGGAAAAAGAAAAATGAATTCCTTGTGAATATCTGGCAAAGCATATCACAATTCCGTCATAGGGAAAGGCATGGTTACAAGTTCAATTATAGAGCCAAACCTGATTAAAAGCACGCAGTTTGCTTTTAAGTGTTGAGAAGGGTTTCTGTAAAACCCCTCCCCAAAGATTTCCTTGTAATTTCACAATTTCCCTACAGTTAAGTGAAGTTTACAATTTGGTCCCCACTTACTTACCCTATCCGGATCCCTTTTTGGGATTTCCTACCTATCACAACTTGCCACGGGGCAAGTCCCCATTGTCCTCCTTCTCATCTCCCCGAACTCTCATCTCTCTCTCTCTCTCTCTCTCTTTTTCACTCTTTAACTCTCTCACTCTCTCCGATCGAATCCACACCCACGCACACCCACACCACTACCCTGACGAAGGTCTACATCACCACCACCCCGAGGACTTTCCTTCCCTCTCTCTCTCTCTCTCGTCTCTGTGAAGTGGGAATTAAAGGTCAGAAACTCTACACAGAACCTGCAACCGAAGTCTTTTTCTTCTTTCAGACATTTCATCGAACATGTGGTGTGCAGCTCCAAGAGGTCGCACCAGCAGCTCCAAGGGACCTCTAAGGTTATTTCCATGGCTTCCAAGGGGTCGTGCGACCCCATTGACCCCACTGTGGCTCCGCCTCTGCTTGTATATGATATGAATTATGGATATTCATGGTGACAAGTCTGGATTGAAAACGATCACACATTGGGTACGTAGTATCCTTATTAAACCACCGTCTTTGGTATAAATATTAGGGTTCTCTGTTGACACGACCTGATCTCGGTATTATCTATGGAGCCAAAAATAATTAAGAGGTGACACGTGGATTTTTGGGTGAAAAGGACAAAATTACCCTCGCGGCACACTGAAATTCCTACGCGCGAGCAGTGCACAATCGTCCCTTAATCAAGATCAATAGAGTATGCGGCAAGAGTAGCTACACCCCTGCCACCATGAACGACAAAGAGACCGAAAAGCAGTGGAACACCTACAATTTGAGGAAGTACCAAGCGTGACCTCCCACTACATCAAAGGCCAAAAACTCAAGTAGGTCGATGGGCACTATCTCGCAAGCTGAGTACTATCCAGTTGTTATGTAGTTCCTACCTTACAACTAAGTTCTTGTTTATTTACTTGTTTTTCAATGAGGAATTTAAAGGTAGATTACAAATTGGCTTGGCTGCATGCTTACAACAACTGATCACCCATGCACTTCAAAAGAAAACCGCGCCCTTCTTAGGGACTTATCGCAGGAATTACGCCCCCCCCGAAGGACCAACCATGCTCTTTAGTGCGAGAGGGTAAACCAATTCCCCAACACCCATCTGGGTCTATACTCTAGTGCGAGAGGATAAATTAATTGCTCTCCAGTGCGAGAGGGTAAACTAATTCCTCGACACCCACATGGGTCTACTTTCCAATGCAGAAGGATAAACTTACACTTCGAATATCCAGACGTGGATGAGCCGGGCTGCCCTGGTATAACTAGGTGCATGATGGCTTGTGCTAGGATTCCTAGAAGTAGCCATAATGGCCTTTTTCAAGGCTTAGCTAGATGAAGGATTTTGGGTCTCTTGGCCTAATTTGCAGGAAATCAGGCCCTAAAGACGGAGGGGGCACATTACGTAGTACGCTTTACAAATGGCTGTCCTAGAACCCTAAAGCTACTACCGAGTGCACTAAGGTAGCCTACGGTTTCCAGAAAACTGCCTACAGCTTGCCCTTCGAGTAGTAAAGCCACGCTAGACTTATACAACCACACATTCTTGTGAAAGGTTAAACAAGCTAGCGTGCATATACGAAGCTTTATTCATTGCCGACATGCTACGTAGTCGATAAGCTTCACCTTTGCAAAGTGCGGAATGACTTACACCAAGTCCTAAAGTGTTGTGATACCTGCTACGCAACCTACAAAATTGGAGAAAGCCAAGGTTAATAGCCTAGTGGTCATGCAGACTTCTTAGCTTTTGTAAGTAAGGTGTTCGGCTGTCGACCCTATGACTAACAACTTTGCAAAGTTCGATACCAACACCTATAGCTGCATCGGCTGCGCAGGCCTGTTTGCTTATAGAAAAGTAGCACGCTTGCCATTAGTCTATATAGTCTAAAGGTTAAGGCATGAACAAAAGAAGCAAAGATGGAGAAAAGTGAAGAAAGCAAGTTTATTAAATTTTCTAGCAAAATTGATAAACAACTAGCAAAGACCGAATGAGTTCAACCAAAGCAAAAAGTAACGAGGGAAACAAAGACTACCTAGAAGACTACTCTTCAGTAGCTTGGACACTCCACGATTACTCGATCGCTATACCTTTAATAGCCATGACATTCTCAGCAGCGGCACCATCCGGCGCTTCATCCCCTGCCGCTCTAGCCTGGCCACCAACATCTCCAATTACTTCACCAATGGAGGCCTCAAAAGTAAAGGCAAACAAGTATTCTAGAGAAATAGAAAAGGTTTCAAAGTCTCTCCCAACAAACTCGAAGTCAGATAGCCTACTAAAGAAATGATCTATATAACCTAGCTTGTAGAAATCGGCTTGACTCTGAACGAGCGAAGCCTCAAGCCCAACCTTCTCACCTTTCAGCTGCCTGATCTCTTTGAACAGACCAACAGGAGTGCGCTGCAGCTCATCCACTTATTTCTTCAAACTTTCATTGATCTTCAGTACACCTTGGAGTTCCAACACTTGGGGTTCAAGCCTATCAATGACCTTCTTAAGGTGGATCACCTAGTTATAAGAATCAATCAACTCTTCATCCTTTACATAAACAGCAAAACGAAGCTAAGAAACGGCACGCTCAAGATCTTAAATCTGAGGTATGTGACATCTGATCTCTTTCTCTGCACTTTCATACTTAACTTGGATCGCGTCAAGCCTAGTTTTCAAGTCAACGATCCTTTCGCAAGCAGTCTCAAGTTGTGGAGAAATGGGGGCATAAATATTAGACGCTTTCAAAGCGACGAACTCATATTCTAACCTTTTAATCTTTTCGGTTGAAGATTAAACTTCAGCTGCCACAACCCTTACCACCTCTTTGGCAGCCTTGGTATCCTTTTGGTCAAGGACCATAGACTCGGTTGCCAGAATAGTCGTTTTCTGCATCATGGCAAGTAGGGCAGTCTTCCTATACTCGGTCGTATGCTTCGCAAAGGAACTTGGGCAAACAACCCTTCTAAGACCATCGAAAAACTTGGCACAAACGCCCATGTCTTCAAACAGATTCGATTTCAAAAGCGCATAAATCTCAGCAGCCTCTCCATAAGTAGGCTTAGTGGATTTCTCACAGCTACCCACCCAAGTAGTCTCCCCCTTTCTAGTAGGCGAATTAGTCTCAACCGTAAAAGGAGTGGGCCTTGGCCCCACTTTAGCAGCAGAGTACACCTTCTCGCTCTTCATAATAGCAAGCATCTCCAAAGGTGAACCAGACTTATCACCCAACGGACATCTTGTTACAGACTTCGGCACTAGGGGCATGCTAGGACCTTTACGCTAAGCAATCCTATCAACAGTTATACTGGCCATTCTCGACATGGTAGGTGCCATAGGCTCAGATCTAGCAGCCTCATTTTTCTTCCTATTGGAAGAAGTCATGACAATCATAGGTTTCTCGACAGCAAGCGGACACTTACGAGTAGCGAAGGAAGTCTTTAGTTTTTTCTCAACCAACATTTCTTGAGCAGGGGGAAATCTCTTCTTTCCACCTTCATTCATAGTAGGTTCCACGACAGTGACCAGACGAGCCAATGTATCCATTTTGATCCTCTTTACCTTCTCTCTCAGGAATAGCCCACTTTTTTCCCGACAAATAGCACAAAACAGCCATCATCATTCACGGTACTCAGTAGGGAAACTCAACCCATACTGGCTTTTCCCTCATTTTTTTTCTCTCAGATCAACAGGCAGGAGGCTTGCATGCCCAACATTCTAGTAGCTCATGAGGCTTGAGACATCCTCATCTCTTTCAATAGCCAACCTGGCCCCCGTCAGGTCCAAGAACCAAAAGGACATGAACCATACGACTTGCCTAGCACTGCGTACCAGCCCCTCAATCTGCGGCCCCAACCGCGCAAGTTGCCTTTGGCTCTAGCCAAGCTGAGCAGCCCAAGCAGTGGTCCTTACCATAACTGCTTCTCGGCCTATAACGAGCCAACTCCTGGCCCCTGCCAGCCGACGTGCGACACCACCCCGATGGCTACCC